GGTCACAGCTCACCACAGGGGGTCAGTGTGTGCCGTACAGTCTTTGTTTGGGTCAAGCGCAGTGTGTTTGTGTGTGTTGTTGCCTGTGTGTGTGGGCTGGAGAGGTTGAGTCAGGCTTCTATATTTAAACTTAATAGAACAAGAGTGTGTGTTTTCAGAAAACGTGTGCGAGCACTGAGGGGCAGTCTGTGCTGTGACTTTCTCAGCAGGACACAGAAACCACAATACATCCAAAAGCTGGGGCTGCTCCGCCCTGCCCAATGCATGTGGGTGTGCTGTGTAGGAGATAAATTAGAGCGAGAGAGAGAGACAGCGAGGGAGTGCAACTTTGAGATATAAACACGTTTCTCGTTAGTGCTATTTCTGAGTGGATTCAGGGTGTTCACACTGTGAAAAAGACACCACTACAACCACAAAGGCTGCTGCAGCTGCATGATTTCTATGTGATGGATTCTATTCCTGTGCAATGCAAAGTAATGCACAATTGGAGAATATATTTACAGCTTGAGGGAAACATATAAACAAATGTTATCTGAAGAAAGATCCGAGGACACTGAAGTATAAAGTTCAGTAATTAAAACTATATTTTGCATTCTTTGACCGTGTCTTGTATGTCCCTGCATGACCACAGTATGTGGACACCCAAATATAACATGTATGATTATATACCTTTTCCAAAACTACATGACATGCAAAGCTCCTGGGAGGAACTTCTGTTTGTGCCGATTGTGGCTCCCCCCTGTGGACAAAACTGTACCTCTTATCACCTTGCTGATTTTCTGCTGTACATGTGAGTCGTGTTTTGAAATAGAAATCTACTCCCGCTGTCTTTTTCAAGTCTAATATAACACTCATCGAGAATCTTTGCCGGGGAAAATTTAAATAAAGGCTGTCAATCACTTTGTCTGACATCTACCTGACGATAGGGTTTCAGGCATAAAAATGACTTTATAGGAATAAATCGCCTTTATGCTGATGATCTTGTTTGCCAGAAAGGCAATAGTGTAGATAAGTGTCTGTTTTAAAACCAGCAAATAACTCCTCACACATCCACTGATGTTTACCTACTCTCCTGAAGACCTATGCTCTGTCTGAGAAGTGTTTGCAAGACTCAAACTCAGAGTCGTTGAGATGGAAATAAATTGAAAAATGTGCCAGACAGTGATGGAGATCGGAGAGAGACAGGACTGAAAAAGGTCAAGAGAGATAAGTGCAGAGAGAAAGCCAAGGACGTATCTCATGTTTCTCCACATTGAATACAGTGACCCCGCCTTCCTGTGTTGTCTTGGCCTTCCTGCTTTCCCCAGAGAGGTCGGCAGCTCTACGACCGCTGATAGCAGAAAATTAAAATCTCTCACAGTGACTGTTATCTGTATATTTCCCTCTCCAGGATCCCGAGCCCGGCAGAGACGCAGGCAGATAATCGCCCACTGCCATTGAAGTCTACCAATCAGTCTTATCCCGACTTGTTTGGAAAAGAACGATATCTCTCTGGGAAGCCAACATCCAAACACCAAGAAGCTCTCCTGCAATCAGCGCTCTGATAGATTAAAAATGTGAAAAATATCTATATTTATCTGGTTGCTGTTTTTTTTCCACTAAAGTTGGTATCAGAATTTGTACAAAAAAATGTAAGTACTGTCTAGTTAAAGAGAGTATTTCTGGCTCGTTTTTACTGCAGATAACACTACCTACTACTTTGACTTTTAGAAGTAAGTGAGTTGTGTTTTGATAATGTCGAATTCAGCATTGTCTTTGCTTTTCTTGTTTAAAGGGTCATTTTGAAGCCTGGAAACGTTTGTTTGCAATTGACATTAATTTAAGAAAACCATTCTGTAAAAACTTTAACAGTGGATTTGAATGGACGCTTTCAATGAGATCATGTGGTTATAAATGTAGAATCCGTTACATTTGGGAGGATGAGGGTATTCTTATGTTTTTGTTGTTTCATTGATATGAATGAACCCAGAAACTGTTATCTCCAGTAAACTATTGCAATAAAACAAAATGTTTAAAAACAAAAGTCCAAACTTTTTATTTCAGGCAAATTACTTGAATATTATTATTATGATCTGTGTTTTTTTAATTCTCCGCTATCCTTTGGAAGAACTTTAAAACATTTTTACCATGCTAGCAGAGAGGCTGGCATGGGGAAAGCATTGCGAAGCATTGGTTCAACAGTTTGGTCGAGTCCAAAATATCTCAATAATGATCAGATAAATGGCGCCAAAAATAGCCCAGATATCTGAAGCTCCCTAAGGATATACACAGATACATTTGGTTACCTTGTGTTTGACTTGAGGGCCACTAGAAGGTAAAACGTTTCACATATCGATCAACATCCAAATAAAGGTTTTAGCTGAACTTAAAGTTTAAATTAAGGTACTAGCTTCTTTTCAGGTTGCCTCTATCATTTGGAAATACTGCTTGATTTGAATTATGTAGCATTTGTATCACTGCTAACTCTGTCACTGTATAGATGGTAATGTCGTTGGTGATTTTGGCTAACAATGACTCAGGTCAAAAATGATGACGGGCTTCACACTATAAGCAGAGATATCTAAAGTTCTGATTATCATTCTCAAATTTTCTTAATGGACAACATTAGGTTATTAAGGTTTCTTCTATTCAATCAATATCAACATCCACTCGATGGAGGCTGGACTTTGAGTTAATGCTAACAAGCTGAGGTTAAGCTAACCTGTTGAACTACTGAGGCCCTTAAGGTGTTTTTTTTAAAGATAATTGTCTTGTTGTAACAACATGTTGTATAACTGCAGACAATATTAGCCTGTCAACTGATTGAATCATGATTTGAAGGTTGATTTATACTTTATCTTTTTTGAAAATAATAAACATATAGCCTACTGTGAGCCTTGAAAACGGATAATTATAAGGTTAAAACATATAGAAAAACTTTTCAAGTGTTTTCAAGTGTACCATGCTAATATTAGGATGTTAGCATAGTCGCTGTGAGTGGTTAGCATGCTGATTTTGGCATTTGACAATATGCACTGCTGTGCCTCAAAACAGCCTCACAGCTTCTGTTGTGGCAGAAGACTTTTATTTCTCTGTTGTTGTCATTTTTTTATTAAAAAAATATCATCTTGCTGCTGGAGGTGACTTCTATATTAGCTAAGAATTACAGCTCCAATAAGAGGACAAGTGGGGAAAGAAAAGTTTTCAGGACAATGTCATGGTTAAAAGGAGACTACATTCGTTCCCTGTGGGTGTCTGGACGTTAAACGGAGCGCGACCAACTAACCCCATAACTCTGATAAAAGGCACATTAAAACTCCATGTATACTGTGATGGAAAATGTAGCTTTGAGAGTCTTTAAGTGTCTGTTTTCACATTACTGAAACATGCTTATTTTATGTGCATAACCAGCGGGTGTTACAGGGATTAAGGTGGGAGTCGAGGGCGTTATTGTTCAGAGAGATATATTGTTCAACACCTAAACCGCTAAACCCAACTGTTACATAAAATAATGGGTCACATACACACACACACCCACACCCAAGCCAAGATACCCCCCATATCTCTCCCCAAGATTAAACCACATTTCCATCATCACATCACATGTCCTCTCGTACAGACAAACACACACAGAGCAGCTGTAGCTAAGTTTAGCCTCCATCAGGTCATGGAGGATTATTCAGCTATGAGATAAAAAAAAGTGCAAACATACGGAAGGATTTGACATTGTGTGGGCAAGATTAAAAACTGCTTCCAAAAATGCACGAGTCTTTTTTTTCTCCGTGCATAATTTAAAAAGTAGTGTAACCCTTCAATAAACAAACACACATGCACATGAAACCACACTCATCTTTAGGAGAGAGCTACTCAGAGATCATAAATCACAACAAAATGCACACAGCAGAGAACGATGCAAGAGGTTTTTAAGTGTGTGATAAAGCGACGTCATTTGCATTTTGATGTGTGTGTGTGTGTTTGCATAACACTCGCACAGTAGCTTAGCATTAATCAGACGGCTGTAAACACTTTGGACAACTCGGAGCCTGGAAACAAATCCTCTCCTTTGTTATTTCTCGCCCCTGCCACCCACCTCTTCTCTATCCCTCTTGCATAAAAATAATAACATGACATGGATGTGCGTGATTTTGAAGCCTTTCACCGGTCGTAACGAGGTAGAATGCCTCCCCCAAAGGGCACGGCTAGCACTAATACCCAAATGGTATGTGCTACTTTTGACACGTGTAAAATGTTTTGACATCTTGGCAAAACTTCCCGGGGTTTGATGTGCAGCCACCTCGGTGTGTTTTCTGCCAAGATGTGCCTGTGTTTCTATTCCTGTTCAAATGACGATGAGGGTGCAGATAGGTGCTGTGGAAACCGTGCCCTGGAATCTCGGTCGCAGACTACAGCAGCTGTATTTACCAATGAGTTCATCCGCCGGGATAGACACTAAAATCCCGCCAGGCTCCGTCTGTGTACGTTTCAACCATGCATCTGTTCACTTGTGGGGTTGGTTGGTGTGTGTGTATGTTGGAAGCATGTATTTGGGTGATACTCCCACACGGACACAGAGGAAAGGGCAGCAGACAAACACAAAGCCAAACAGAGCCAGGACATCACAGAAAGAGACAGGAGGCTTTGAGACGGGCCACGTTTAAGGGCCAAAAAAAGGAGGGAAGGGTAGACAGGGTTGTGTGTGTGTGTGTGTGTGTTGCTGTATGTGTGTATAGGGGGCAGTTGTTAACCTTCCTATCATAGTGTCACATGCCCGCCACTGCAGACAGAGCAGGACAAAAACACAGATGGAGAGACCTCGACTAAGGACGCACACTTGACTCTCTTCTCTTTCTTCTACTTCTAATGTCTGATTCTCTTTTTGTCAAAATCTCTTTTGTGCTACTTGTCCGCTACCTCTTTTTTGAATGCTGCAGTTCCTGAAATTTCTACTTTTAATATTTCTTCCTGCCTAACTCCGACTCCCTTGTCTCTCACTTACTCTCTCCTCGCTTCCTGTCTTTTGGATGGATAGCTACTCCCTCCTTTACAGTTCCTCCCACAGAACAGGACTTCTCTCCGGGTTCCAGCGCCTGCGTTCCCAGAGGAGGATGTGTGATGTCGTCCTGGAGGCTGGCGGCGTGTCTTTCCCCTGTCATCGTGCCCTTTTGGCCAGCTCCAGCGACTATTTTTGGGCTTTGTTTGGAGAGACAACCGCCGAGAGATTAGCGTGTTCCATTAGCCTACCGGTGCTAACGCCTGAGGGTTTAGACGCCATTCTGGACTTCCTGTATTCCGGATGGTTAAATGTTTCACAGGCTACACTTCCTGCCGTCTTGGAGGCAGCCAGGTATTTGCAGGTGGAACCGGCTGTGTCAATATGTGAGCAATTTATTATTGATGGCCTGAATGCAGAGAATTGTTGTTGCTATGCTAACCTAGCCGAGCGGCACGCGCTCACAGATGCACTTGAAGCTGCAAATCAAACCGTCGCAGTAGAGATGGGGAAATTGCTGAAGGAAAGACAGGAAGACCTTCTCAGGCTGAATATCCAATCACTGATGGCGGTGCTCGATGCTGACGATATTCCTGCTGTGAAGGAGGCAGAGCTTATAAAGTTGGCTCTGGATTGGCTGGATGAAAATGGACCCATCCCTCTGTTGAAATCAAACCTCCTGCTGAGTCATCTACGCTTTGGATTGGTTGCTTCGTCTGAACTGACTGATCTTAGCCACGCCCACAAAGCCATGGCCACACCGCTAATCAGAAGTCAGCTGACTCGGGCGCAGGAGTACCATAGGATGGGCTCAGCTCAGCCAATTAAACAGAGCAGACAGTCCACCCTGAGAGCGTCGCTCAGTCGTGTGCTTCTTGTCGGCGGAGGATCCAGCCCTGATTGGCCGGAGCAGCAGTTGCTAGCGTTCGATCCGAGAAGCAGGAGGTTTTCATCTCTGAGTTCCAGCCTCCCGCTGCGACTGAGAAGTCACTGCGTGTGCTCAGTCGGAGATTTCCTCTTCGTGATGGGCGGAGAAGAAGTGAAGGACGGAGACGAGGATGGAAAAAAGTCTGTCAACGTGGCAACATCCAACCAGGTGTGGCGCTACGATCCTCGCTTTGACCATTGGAAAAAGATGGAGTCCATGCTGGAGAGGCGGGCGCAGTTCACCTGCTGTGTGGTTGAGGATGTTATTTACGCTATTGGTGGACGACACAAACGACTGGACAACAATGCGCAAACCTCTGTAGCATCTGCTGAGTTTTACGACATGGCAACAGGAGCTTGGCGGAGAGTACCAGCAATGCCTCGCCCACTTTATGGCCATGCTTCTGCTGTGCTCGACAACGCCATCTATGTGTCAGGTGGTGTTGCAGGACACCAGGAAAGCAGTACCTGCACTGATTACCAGTACGACCACAGAGAGAGCAGCAAAGAATTCCTTTTCTGGGATCCCAATGGTCGAACCTGGGAGAAGAGAGCGCCCATGTCCATTGCCAGATTCGGGCACCGCCTTGCAACCGCCCATGGGTACATCTACGCCCTGCTGGGAATGTACGAGCCTTTCTGCGATATCGAACAATACGATTCGGTGTCAGACCACTGGACCCGCCTTCGACCGCTTCTCATTGGCTCCTTCAACTACGGGATGGTGACGACGTCGTCTGGGAATCTGCTGGTGTTCGGAGGGAGGAAATGGAGCGACGGGCAGGAGGTGATTGTGAGGAGTGTGTTGGAGTACGATACGAAGAAAGATCGCTGGAGGGAGATCTGTCAGCTCCCAAGACCTCTTACTGGGACTGAATGCACCCTGCTGCCTCTACCGGACTGAAGTGTAGAAAGCGTAAGAACATTTTAACATGAAAGTGTGACCATCAAAGTAGAGCAAGCACTGTGTTAAAATGCTCATGGGACAATACCATGAATTGTACCCTGAATTTGTATTTGACATAGAAACAACAGTAACCTTTCATTGAAAATTAACTATTGGGTTTGACTTTAACTGAAAAGTGTAACGTCCACACAACTTTATTCCTCACAGTTTAAAGGCTTTATATGTGATTTTTCACTCTTAAATTTAATAGAAATCAAGTATATCCTCTGAAAATAACTCTGTGAGTCATGACTGTCTACAATGGGTGTAACACCCGAGTCCCACTGTTTGTGATGTTTTCAGAGTCATATTTTCAGTTTGTTTACATCGCCGGGACAGCCAGCTGACTCCTCCGCTCGCGAATAAAAGTTGTTTAATTGAGGGACTAGAGAAAAGAAGAATAACATACTGTACTCACTGCTTAACTGTGTTTCTAGATCACGCTCATTTCAGGTAAATTTACATGCAGTGTGAAGATACGAACATAATAAAGATCGCTATCATTAGCATGCTAACACAACAATGCACCGCACGTTGTTTTGGTTTCATGCTGGTGCTCAAGGGCAACATCTGCTGGATCAAAAAATCGCATATAAAGCCTTTAAACTTCGCTGCCTGTGTTGGGACTTTCAAACTTTTCAGAGTTTAAAAGTCAAAAAGTTGAATTTCCGCCTATTGAGCAAAATATCCCAAGCCATTAAATTTAAACCAAGCAACATTTTAATTTTAGTGATAATCTATTACTTACAGAAATAATCGTTTGTTAGGGGAATCCATATTTTTGTGTCAAAACAGAACAACCTCCTGTTAACTTTGTCATTTATATACAGTACATTAGTTTTTGTTGGAAATAGATTGAGCGTAGTGAGCTAAACAAGTGTCTGAAAGTATACTAACTCCAATTTTTATGTAAAAAAAAAAAAAAAAAGGGCTAAACTAATCTAAAACTGGATACATTGTGACATAAGTTAGGTAGCGAAGCCTTTACCCTGAACTCATCTGAACATTTCTAAATTTGCTAACACGTCATTGTACTAAAAAGTGAGTTGAGTTACCAAAACATTGAACAATTTGAAATCTTAAAACACAATTATTCAGGCTAAAACAAACATGTTACTCCTTTTTTAGGTTGCATCAATCTGACAGATTCTTGGAAATTATCGACAGAGAAAAAGATTTCACTCAACTTTGTAGTTGTTGCTTTTAATATAATATATTATATACTTGTGTGTTGAGCAGAGGCAGGTAGGGAGAGCTACTTACCATGACTAAAATAGAATAAGCTTAAAGCTTAAAATGCCAGCTAGTAAGAAGAAGGGCACAGGGTGTTTTGACAATGATATTCCTGTGACCTAACTCGACATGTCCTAAGAAGAGACATAAAACAAGAACTGAAGGGGGAGATAAGAGGATTTTAGAACAGGTACATGTGGAGGAGCGGTTTGGAGATTTAGTGGGAAGAAGGTAACTTATGAACAAAGGAGATTTCATGAAGTGGCTGAGCCCGGCATCAGGAGGCTATCAGACATAAGAGGGAATACAGAAGAGGTCAGAGCAGGAGATAATGAGGTGAAGGTGGAGGAGGAAAACAACAGCAGAGCTAAGCTGAATATTTTATAAAAGTTGTAGATAAAAGTTCAGCGTGTGAATTTTTCTGTTTACTGACTCACCTTGAATAATTAAAGTTTCTATGTGATTGATATAAAATAGAAGCACGGCAAGAATATTGAGTGACATTCCTGTCTTGTTTACTTCTTTCACTATCTCTGCACTGACAAAAAAACATTGTAGGTCAAAGCTGTAGAATCGAGAAAGAGCACGAGTAAGAAATCATATGCATGATATGTTGGTAACAGCAAGGTGACCTGCTGGAGTTTACTATTTATGGGCTTTCCTGCTTTTATCTTCTTCCATTTATTAGTGAATACATCGGTAAAACATTATTTATTGAACATGTTATCGTATTGAAACTTGTTGATTGTCGATGATGGTCAAAACGTCAAATTCAACACAGATTTGATCCATAACAAGGCTTTCAAGTAGGTAGTGTTCATGATGTAATGATATGAATCATGGATGCTGCGCAGTACAGAATCATGATGACAAAAGACATTGTTTGTGTTTGTTTGGGAGCTGACTGGTTTGGTGTATGTTTACATCATCTTTCCCTCTTCATTACTTCTTGTTAGGAGGATAATGTTTGTGGACAAGCAGCTGAGTCGAGGTCAGATATGCTGCTGCAATGTCCGTCATTAGCAGCAAGTTTCAGGTGAACATTCAATTGTTACAGCTTGGTTGCGTTTTTTGTTTTTTGTTTTTGGGGGGGGAGTCAGGGGGAGGGTAACTTAATATTAGATGAGGACATGACACTGGATAAGGACAGAGACTGGTATGAGAGAGTGTAGAAAGACATGGGGTAAAGTGCAAAGGGTTTGAGTTGAACCCGGGCCGACACCCTTTGAGGACTATAGCATGGGGAAATTGGTCTTAGACTCAAGTGCTGAACACATTAGGCTTCCTAGCTTCTTGCTAACTAGCATCCACATAAAACCTTCAGAACGACCGGGCCCCAGAAGATCTCTGTTAGTTTTAACAAACTCTTATTTCTCATTTGTTTCACAGTGACTGTGCAGCTGTTACAAGAACTCGTCCTCTCTCCTCTCCCAGAGACGACCAAAAAAAAAAAAAAACATGCCACAAATAAACCTTCATCCAAATGACCACACTTTATTGAGCCATCCTCTTAAATCTGACATTAAATAAATACTTTCATTTTGATTTATAGATAGAACAATAAACAATCTTTTACTCGACTGTCCAAAAATACCTGATAAGAAATTCAGAACATTTTTTCAAGACACTTAGTTTGCACTCTATAAAGAGAGATCTACTGTATCTAGAGATTTCAAACACAACAACAGAAAAAAGAATAGAGCGTTTATCTACAACAAAGACATGCTACTACGACCAACCACGGGCAGCAGCATAGAAAGAGCATTCAAACTGTGACTGTGCTTATTGGTGTGTGCGTGTGTGTGTGTGTGTGTATTTGTGTGTATAATTGCTTTCATAGTTCTGTGCAGTGGTGCTGAGTATTAAGTAATTTGCCAGCAGCATACAAATAAACTAATATATTTTAATCAAATCCATTTTTCAAATCTTATGCAAATAGTTCCTCATAATCTTTACACGACATGCAGGAAAGCGGAGAGCCACGAGGTCTCCGAGGAGAAATCCACACTCACAAACTGTAACACTGTTTTAGATTCAGTGTGTGATATTCACAGAGTTTTAGAAGTCATTTTGTGAGAAGGATTTGAATGTCTTCCTTCACAGATTACGAGTTCAGTTGGAGAACTTTTGCATTTGTTTTCCGAGGGCGCTCTCTAATAAGAACACTTTATAAACTCATCTGCTAATCTCTCTGCTTCTGGAACTAAAAAGATTGTGTTGGTTAATCACACAGGACTTCATGGCCTCTGTCGTTTCCTTGTGAATTTTGTCCATATCTTTATCTGATCACACTTTACATATTTATCTCCTACGACCATGATTGACAGAATCAATTTTCAGAACCGATTCCTTTTTGAACAGGCATTTATCAGGCACAGAGAAGACCAGGATGTGTGCTCGGTAGATATTCCCAACAGTGTTGAGGTGTTTCAGGGTGGATTCTTCCTTTTCCAGCAGAGTGCATGCTTCAGGTCCAGCCCAGCACAAAGAGCATTTCTCCTCAACCAGCACAACCAGAGTCTCTAAAACCAAAAGACGTGTGCTCATAACTATGTCACATTTCACTGTACAGAAAAAAAAAATCATCATAGACTTTAAGTATAAGGCTTAATATAATACAATGTATGTCTATGACACACTGTGCAGTCGGTATAAATATGGCACAACAAGCAGGATGGAATACTTTTTAATGGCGGCTTGTGAAGATATTATTCTGAGCTCCGTGTCCGTTTCAGGTGGAGCAAAGTGAAAAGTCTTTTTGCCTTCCATGTAGAGGATTTGAAGAGCAGTAAAGCTAACGTGTGAAAACATAAGAATCAGTTTATCGTCCGCCACCGAGCCAGCTGGTGTGGCATAACCAATCAGCTCGTAGAATCGATGTGACATGAGGGCACGCGGACGTCTCCTCACAAAGCTGTCATGTTGCACTTCAGCTGCAGAAAGCGTATCGGGGATGAGGAGTTTTCCCTGCTCTCTCTCTCTCTCTCTCTCTCTCTCTCTCTGCTGACAACTCCTTCAACTCCTTCAAGGAGAGTAACTGAAGCGTGTGTGAGTGTGTGTGTGTTTGTGCGTGTGTTTGTGCGTGTTACATTCGTCAGACATGGGTCTCGATGTAGGAGTGTGTGTGGGAGAGCGAGGGGGTGAGGGGTGGGCCGGGGTCTGATTCAGCGGTCGAGTCTGGCTCCTGAGAGAACAGCTCCTGATAGGCTCTTTTCCACTCCTGGAATTCTGCCGACGACAGCTGGGGATTGGCCAACAGCCTGTCAATCAGCGCTAGCTCCCCCTCCCTGTCCTATGGGGATGCAGAAACACAGGAGGAGGAGCAGGTCACTTTTTTTTTTAAATTGATTTTATAGATTTAAACGACTAAGCTTTCAAACGCAGACACACGTGAAGCAGGACACACACTTAACGGGATGCACAAAGCTTTGGGGAGATTTAAACTTTGTAAGAAACACTCCTAAACCATCCATCTGTCGTTGGTAGATTATTTGTTCTAATTTTTCCAAGATGTCACATGAAACATTTAAACTGTCCCACGTAATGAACCTCTTAAAAAGCTTGATAGCCAATCAGAGAGAATTAATAAGACGGGGCCAGAAGTTAGAACAAAAGGCATTTCTGTCGATGTTTGTTAACAGGACAGTGACGTTACTGCAGACTAAGGATGTCTACATCTTCAATACTTTATCGATACCGTGTTTTAAAATGAGTTTAAAATGTGTTTTAAAAAGGCTCTTTACTCATCTATGAAGCATTATAAGGATTAAGGGATTTATTGGACCGTTAGTTACCTTTAATGATTATTTTAGAAATGGTTGAAGTTTAGATGAAATATTGGTGTGAACTGAAGGTTAATGACAAATTTGTGATTGGGTTTCACGTTAAAAATCTTAAAACCCCAGAAGATATCTTTGTACAGAGAGAAAGAGCTCAGCGTGTATGAAGCAGCTCTCTTTCTGTAACAGTCAAGTGTCAACAGAGAAATTCTGCCTCATTATGAAGAGTGAGAGTACACATCATCGTTTGTCATCTCGACTGCAGCTTGTTGTTTTGGTTCAGGATATTGAGAAATTATGCATATTTTTGGTTGTTTCCACAGCAACCACTGCAGAAGACTTGATGCTGCCTGAAGACATAAAAAATCAGTAGAGCAAATTAAGGGAAAAAAAGTCTACCAGGGCCACACTGATGACTGAGCTGTCTGCTGTATGAAGTTTGATTTTTGTGGTTTAGAGAGAGGATAGAGTCAGACATCAGGGAGAGAGAGAGAGAGAGAGAGAGAGAGAGAGAGAGAGAGAGAGAGGGATTGATATGCAGGAAAGGAGCCACAGGTTTGACTCGAAACCCGGGCTGCCTTCTTGGAGGACTACAGCCTCCATACATGGGGCGCACGCACTAACCACTAGGCTACCGGCGCCCCTGAATGTGTGCTCTAATTATCTATCTGAGGTACGTTTCCTCCCCCCAAACACTCGGTGTATTCCTTTAAGAGATGTCAGACAGAGACCAAACATGTACGCTCTAACAGCCAACCGTTACCTGCAAACACGACAGGGAAAGCCACAGAGACATAAAGAAAAAACACTAATGTAGATAAACGCAGACTAGGCCACAAAGCCCCGCCCACGCCAACCATCCCCGCCCACCTACACGGAGGACGCAACAAAGATTCAGCCCCAGCATGAGAGCCGTTCACCGGCACCCGGCCCACAAACATACGGTAAGCACATGTCGTACAGCATGAAGCCACAGCTGACAAAAACGCTGTAAAAAAAACAAACGGTGGAGACAGACTGGGACAGACGACGAGAACTGAAAGCAACAACAACAACAACAACAACACAAAGACATGTTCCAGCATGTGTGTGTCAATATGTGTGTGTAATCTGCTTGTGTTGTACACATCAGGGTCAGTTATTCACAGTGTACTACAGGCACCGTTCTACTTGTTTAACCCTGCCCACCTTTAATGTGTTCAGGTGCTTTCATGTGTGAATGTGATTACTGTAAGCCAATGGACCAAGAAAACTACAACTAAAGCAAAGGTCACTCTCTGGGTATGAAAAAAGGTGGATTTAGATCAGAAAATTGTGAGATCATACAAAATCAGGCATCGGAAATTTTGGGCTGAGATGTGCAAATGCCAAAAGTATAAACTGATTTAGAGATATAGTCCTAAAAATGTCAAACTCCTGTTATATTGGTGATATATTAGTCAGCTTTTTGTTAGCAGAAGCCACTGATTGTAATTTTTGGGATGCATCATCTCATGTTTGGGGGCTATCCTTTAATACATTCTAATTTAACATCACTATGGCTCTGAACAGATTTCATAGTTTGGATGAGCCAGCACACACCAGAGACATTTAAAAGAAACACTGCAGGATGTGATCTGGCATTACATTTAATTTGGTTGATCAAAGCTAAATTGTTTGGATTTCACTCTCCTGAGGTCGACTCCGAGCTGTGTTAAGTCACTAGCAATGCAAAGCTAAAATGTCTCACTGCTGCTAGATTCAGCAGGCACAGCGCGGACTTCTTTTTTAAGAAGCACCCACAGGAAGTGCAGAGCGTTTATCAGAATGGGCACTGACACGTTCATCTTAAATGTACAGATAATACCTACAAACCCGTAGACCCCCCCCTCCAAATCATTTTCTACATAACTTTTATATGTTGCAGGTGGTAATGCAACAGGAAGAAGCAACCTCTCCTGTTGCAGAAATATAAGTTGTAGTTAAAGTTTTGATCAAAACGTCGTGGGCTTGTTGTCACATAAATCCCCGACTCTTATTTCACAAACAAAAGTCTTTCCAGAAAGTTTTGCAGTCGTTTTTAACCACACTTGGCGTCACCCTGACGTCTCATATGAAGGATAATATTTTCAACAAATGATCCAAAGAAAGAAAAGACAAGAAAGAAAAGACTGGAATTCTTGGTTTTGATAGTGCATGACCTGCACGATGTTCATATGCGTTATTATCTAAGTGTGTATTTGCACCCTTTCTGCCTGCACACTTCCTGCATGTGTGTCTTTCTGTGCGGACCAACCTTTAATGTGGATGTCAGTATGCGGAGGCGGTGCAGACGCTCGTTGAGCTGAGGGTCGGCGGCCCGTCTGAGGAATGACTGCCTGAACTCCGACTGACCTTTAATCTCCGACTCCCGACCGAGGGGACACACTCCGCCCTCCTCGCAGGCACGAAACAGGTCGCCTAAGGATGCACCCTCACTGCCACCTTCACAGGATTGAAAAAAAAAAAAAAAAAAACATGACAGAGAGGCTCACTTAGTGTTGATTTAAAGCCTCCTTCAGAACAAGATTTAAAGTCAGAGCTGTCATAAAGATGATTAGATTGAGTTCTACCTCAGAGCTGCCACTGGAGGACAGCAGCACACACCTTCTCCTACACAACAACGTTGATAAAACCCTGTTCTCTCTTTCCTTTCAGACACTGGCAGATTAATTCATCTGCTTTCATGACGGGGGAATAAACATCACACCATTGATATATCTCGTTGTTTATGTCTGCGACTTGCTCCTGTTTACTATTTTAGTTCTCACTCTTCTGTCTGGGTGCCGCTGGGCTCACCTTGGTAACCAGTGCATCATTGCCTCATTAGCCTCATTAGCTCAGCGTACATTTGGAGTGCGTGTCTGTTCCATTATTACATTTACAACGATTAGGATTTAAATGTGTCTGCCTGAGAGCGTTTTTTTATTTCTGGCATGTGAACTGACGTCAACGTCTTCACCTTAAAAAAAAAAGAAAAAAAAGGCTTTTTTTTTTTCAGTTCAGACTCTGGAGGCCGTCTTTCAACGTGAGACACATTTGTTCCTTTCTGCTCTTACCTCCAGTCCGCCCACGCACACGCAGCACACATCTGTTTGTGTTCTCTTTGTTCTCCTTCTTCAGAGCGTCCACGTGTCTCGCAGCACATGTATGTTCCCCGTCTGAACTCACCGTTGTATGTTTGCTGTTCTTCTTTGGCGGGGGCTGCGAGGAGGGTGTGTAGGTTGCTGTCTCGTGGTAGCGTGAAGCTGCGGGGTTTTCCTCCCTGGGTTGCCATAGGGATCAGTCTCTGCATCGCCATGGGCAACGGGACATTCCTCTGAGCTGGGAGAGTGTAAACAGCGCCAGCCATCATAGTACCTCCACCTGGACCGGGCTCGGCAAAGACAGCGTCCTCTGTAACGTCAAGAGGGCAATGAAAAATAAACACAACACATCTCATGTGTTCTGCTGAACCACAGAAATCAACTACTGGCTTATAATCACACCTAAAACAAGTGAATGTGTCAGTTTATAGAAAACTGACCAGCATATATTTTGACATTTATTCTTCCATCAACAGGTTGGATTATTAAAGTATCTGGTGTGTTTGTGGTTCTGTACCCAGAGGTCCAGTTTGTAAGTAGTGCAGTCCAGCTTCAGTCAGCGGTGTCTCAATCAAGTCCTGCCAGGAGCGTCTCTGAGATGATGAAGAGCGGCCCGGAGACCCCGTCTCACTGCTGCCCCCCGCGGGACTGGAACGGTACTACAGAAAATTGTTTAAAAAAAAAAGAAAAGAAAAAGGGGGAACGTTGTTATTGTGCAATTTGTTTTTGGAGCTTTGATTAATCAGAGGTGAGAAGGGTGACATAAAGGTTATGATCATATTCCATCCTCTTGACCTTTATATATACAGTATATATAGACACCAGGGGGAGGGGGAAGGCGGGATTCTAGTAAACATTCCAGATAAAAATGGGTTTAAACTTTTTTCACATCAGCTCATCAATAGATCTGTTTGCATCATGTTGTCTCTGTGTTGTAGCAAATGTCTGGGTTGTTATTATTTCATCTGCATCAATTCACAAACATGTCTTGTCAAGATCTGGTATCTTTGAACAGATTATCTTTGCATAATTGGTGTGAACATTAAAAATCTAATTTTCTACTTTTCAGGATTAGTTGAATTAAAGCCATCGTTAAAAAACACAAAACAATACTTTAAGACCGGCTGGTTGTGCAAAGATTATCACATCCCAAAATCAACATGAGTTGCACAAAAACACAAAATACTGAGTCTTTCCCAGCACCTGCTGACAGGGTACAAAAAGTACATTTTGTCCTACAGGTGGTGCTTCAACAAAAGTTATGTTCCGTCATTTGTAATGAAATTAAACTCAAGAGTCCCCACTGGAAGGATGGATCAGCAGACTGTGTGCCAATGAAAAGATGACAGGACACTGTGTGCAAATGTGACATTTTATCTTAAAGCACCCTAAGAGCAACTTTTCGAAATTCAGATTGCTTATTCTCTGGGGAACAGGAACATGGAAATGAGACGTTTACATTTTGACCTGATGTTGGTGCTAAAGGAGAATTTTAATTGTCTGAAGATCAAAAATATTAAAGCTCCTGTGAAGAACTTTTGGTTTGTGTTGATTTTGGCGCCCCCTGTGGACAAAGCAGTAACTCTTTAGTCTTTACTGATGTTGTACAGACACATAAGGAGTATATTCCTATTAAAAATCTCATCGTGTTTTGTTTTAGCAGTCAAACGTATCGCTCATTGTGAACCTTCCACCTGGAAAATGTAAATAAAAGCTGTTCCTGCAGCGTGCTGTAACACTTCTTGTCTCACACCTACGCCCTGACAGTGGTAACAAGCATTAGAAATAAGGATATAGAAAGTATCAGTCTTGTCATTCATGGTCTTGTTTGCTTTTGTAGGTCATACTAAGGCATCAGAATATATTTAATTCTGTTCCAGATAAATCTCCTAACAGGAACTATAAATAAATGCAGACGGCTACCTTGCTTCAGAATGACTTACCTCAACAGGATCACATCTGTACTGCACATCGCTGCTGCTGCTCCCCCCTGGTTTCCTCCCACTGTGCGTGGTGCCTCCCCCTAGAGGACCAGGGTGGTACTGCGGCTCTGCGGCCACCACGGAGGGCTCGCCGCAGAGGAAGTCCTCCTGGGAGGAGCGAGAACGAGACGTCTCCGTGGAGGACAGTCGAGTGGTGCGGCCCTCCAAGTAGGCACTCATCTGACGAAGAGAGGGGCAAGCGGACGTCAGTGGATTGTGTGCTGATCTCACTTGATTGTGATGAAAACACTTCAAAAAACTGGATTTCAATCTGGTGAGGGAGCTTTGTGACTGTCGAGGAGGCAGGGTGGTGATTGAATCAGTATGCGAGATTGGACGTGAGAGACAGGAAGACAGGGAAGAGGAGATGAGCGCTTGAACTCGAAAGACTCTTGAATACGAGGACTTGTAGTTTTTATTGACTTGACAACTCAGCAGGATATTAGTCTGGTGTCTGAAAACGTGTGATAAAAGATGTCGTCGTTTGTTAATTTTCAATCCTTTGCCAAGCTCAAAAGTGAAAACCCAAAGAGGAAAAAAAACATTTATTGTGGAGCAAAGCAGCGTGATGGACAATAATAGCATCAATTAGACCAAATGTATCCCCTCCGCTCCCTGTAGGCTAAATTGGCAATAACTTTAACAGTAAAAATGGACTGCGGAGGAGCAACGTGCGCGAGTTTCTCCTTCGAGTACAGCTTGTTCTCCGTATGAGCTTGTAGTACAGTCATGTGTGTGTGTAGGTGACTCACTGATGGAGGCCGTGGGTAGGTATCGTACGGAGGTGGGGGACTGTCCTGTTTAGGGCTGGAGGTGGTGTCATCCTCATGATCACTCTCGCTCCAGTAATCTGCAGGAAACCCACACACACACACACACACACACACACACACACACACACAGTCAGAAACACCAACCAGATCTATCTGTTTGTACAGCCATCTATCCATGTTTCCATCCAGTGAAATCTAAATCTATCTGCATGCTTTTTTCATCCATTAGGAATAGGAGAATTAGTTTATTTGCTGCTTGAATATTTTACCAATCTGCTGAAGCGCTCTTTGGTAAGACACTGAGTGAACCCCTCACCCTGCTCTTGGCGTATCCTCTCTCGCTCGGCGTAGCCCACAGCGGCCATGTTGAGACGACTCAGCCATCTAACAGAAGAAAGATCGAATGTCAAAACAAACCCAAACTGATTATTAAATGTTGACAGAAGGCAACACACATAATAAGCTCAACTAAATAAAAACAGATTGTTTCATATACCAGAACAAAGAAAACTACAACCGCTGCAGATGTTAGAATCACGACTAAATGTGAGAGAAAATAAAGTGTAAAGATTATTCTTTGCGCCAGCGACAACCCAGTCTCTATCATTCAGCTCAGAGGGATGCAGCGTTGTCATGCTACCTGCAGCTATTGTAGCCTTGAGCCGCGAGCTTCAAGCAAAGATGAGGAAAATACCAAAGAGCACTGCCCACTCACCACTCACTACTCTGCAGCTCCACACCACCCGATGTTTACTATATTTTCTTTTATGCTTAATCAAGTGACATCACTTTGGGTACTTCTTCAGATTAAACAGCCCTTTGCTTTTTCAGTAAAAAGACAGAAGAAACTAGCTAAGAGTATAGGCTGAAAGCAGGGGGGATTTGAGCATATAGGTTTAAAAAAATCCACTAACCACACCTTTAAATCTTGCAAATTAACATGTATAGCGTTTTATTCACCTTCAAAGTTGAACATTTTACAGTTTTGGATTTATCAAAAAGGTGTGAAGCACATTTTCAAAAATGTCAAACTAGTCAAAGATTTGCGTCTCTTAAAGATAGCTCAATATTTGTCTTAGTTTGTGCACAATTCAACCTGGTTATAACATCTTTGTCAAATCTATTTAGGTTTTATTATTTAGGTTCTGAAAGTCCTCTGTTGTAAAGACGTGGTGCCTTTGAGAATTGATGCAAAAGTCTGGAAAACAACAAAAGGGTCTTTGAAAACATCTCACAGATTATGGTTTTCATAAATATCACTTGACATAAAAACAGACTTTTTTCATTTTATTATTTAAAAAACCTAGTTTTTGAAATGTGCTTTAAGCAGATCAAACAGGAAGTTGCACCCTTGCCTCCCTAAAGATAGTTTGCCCTTCTTCATGACCTTCATGCGTGTTTACCGCATGCTGATTTACCTGTTCATGTCATCCACTCCATCTGCTGCAAAGTAGAAACTCTTGACCTTGGGGTGACACGCTTTGAAAGCACTAGAAAGACAACAGGGGAAACAGAGGGAGTTATTTCTGCAGGCAAACAAACATACATTCATACATACCCACAGGGACATAGCCTACATACATATATATACACACACACATACAAGCAGTGGTTCTCAGTGATATGGCCTCAGGACTCACCACCTCCTCCATAATGGGAAATTGTTTATTCAATAAAACACGGTGCAGTTTGGACCTCAAAACAAAAACATCACAGACTTTTTGCAACATTGATTTTCCAGTTACAAATTCATGACCCATTGGAAACAGCTCTGTGACCACTTTTGGGTCCCGCCCCTCCACTTGAGAATCACTGCATTAGAGTATGTAAACACACAAATGAATACACGTAAATATAGAATCAGAATGGTGTCATCGTGCACTTACTACTTCTTGCGACATTCACTAGCCCGGTCGATCTTAAACTCTGGAAGACTGACAAAACCCTCGGCCTTCTCGTCCTAAAGGGACAGAAAATTAAAAATAAATGATACGGAAATAGGAAGAGGGAAAGAGGAAAGGAAAAAGCTGGGTTTATGAATATGGCTAGAGCAACTTTATGGCTCATGCTAACGTCACACTTAGCATGTTCTAATTGTCAAACTTAATGAATCAAAACAGCCATTAAAACCAGAGAGCTTTACATCTGGATCAATCTGCACATTAGATGTTTTATTTTTGTCAGGCTAGAGGTAAATACTCAGCATGTCTTTGTTTTAAGTTTGTCTTCTAAAAGTAAAGGAATTAAAAGTATAAAACTATCCTAGTTGCTTTGATCTTTAAGCTATAAGATGATGTCATCATGCTACCATCATAGACTGTAAAAACATGGACGTCGTCTAAGTGATGTCACCTATTGGTTTCTGAAGAGGCCCATCAATGACGGACTGCTAACCTGTTGATGTTCAGCCAGGTTAAACTTGTAACAAATATGAGCCAAAAGTTTGAAATCCTCTTTTACTTTAAATACCGGAGCACAGTCTTCCCGACTCATCCTGCAGCTTTGAAATTTTAGCTTAAGTCTTGACTTCAGGCTAACTTCTACAAAGGCATCTCTGGCTTTGTTCTCATCACAAAGCATGAAAGCACAACTTACACTTTTTTTATTTTATTTCAATGGCTAAAAAAGTAGAGGACATTTCTAAAAACAAAGACTCGCCTCCTCATTGATGTACCAGTACAGGCAGTTGTCCTTCAGAACAAACCAGTACTTCTTCCATTTGTGTGAGAAGTAACCCTTTGCGTCTCTCTTTCTCCACAGCCAGCCCTCACAGTCTCCACGGCCCAGAGCTTTGCAGGAAACACGCCTACGACTTAGGGAGGCCAAACTCCGTCCTGGAACGACACAGAGGAAACATGAACGCAGTGATGACGGACAACAGTCGCTCAAACAATAAGCCGTAACTCTGTTCACGCTTTGACAGTAATGTGCAGGGGTATGTCCAGACTCATTAGACTGGGGTGACCCAGCTGGGGTACTCACTCATGACATGACATGTGCACATAAATACATGTCCAAAAAGCATGAATATACCATTTCTGACTCTGCTAAACCTTGTATTCATTCATTTCTTACATTTAGGTATCATGCTGATGAAGTATTTACAGTTCACAGCAGAGGGGCAAAGAACAAATCAGTCATGCATTCTCTGAGGACGACAAAAAGATTCATCTTTGTACGTCACAGTAAAGTAGGATAATGAAAATGTGCTGTATTGAAATGTCACAAAAGCTATGCAACGCAGCTTGTTGCAACCTCAGACTGTATAATAAATGGACACAGTCACCTTGACGTCACCCATTGGTTTCTGAATTGACATTTTGAAGCCCATCAATGGCGTTTGCCAAATTGGAAACGCTATCTCAACCTGACCTTTTCTATACAGAAGCAGGCAGAGAGGTGTAGGTGAGGCAACATGTGTCCACCTGTCAGTCAACTCAGCACCAATTTATGTAAATTTGTGCAAAAATATTATCCTTAATACAACACAAAATTAATGACTTGTAAAAAAAAAACATGATCCCTGCACAGTCTTAGCGTATAAAGAGAACAAAACTCTTATGTAGCAAACTGAAAACATGTTTTTTTACATGCAGTAAAAATGGAAATTTTAACATTGGACCCAGTAGGAATTCCTTGGCTCTCACAGGAAGCCTCAAGTGGACACTAAAGGAACTGCAGTTTATTTCCACTTCCCCACTGGCTTTATTTTAAAAAACTGAAGAATGCCGCTTGGCTGCAACACAGCACAAGAATTGATTTGAACACGAGCCCTGCCTCTGACTTGGCTGATAGACAATAATAGTTTGGATTGTGGGCCCACGGGATCTCAGGGAAGTGGGAGAGAGGGGAAGCCACCCCAGGCCATCGCTTGGAAACCCTCTTGTTGGTGTGTGGGGAAAAAAACACTCACATAATGCTTTATGTTCCAATAATCCTTGGCGGGAGTTCAATCTCTAAATTCGATTACCCCACTGCAGTACGGGAAGAGGTGTTTAATAAAAACTGTATTTTTTTTTATTTTGGCATAAAAGCCATTTCATATTTTCACAGCAGTCTCCTCATTAGAGATTACCCGAGAAACTTGGCTCCGAGCTCAGGCCCCACCGAGAAACTTTTATTGACTGCATCAAAAGTCTCAGGACTTTAAAGAGGAAAGTTACTCAATATTCAATTTCATTCTGTGGATTCAGAAAGTGCAGCGTACGGTGTATCTCCAAACGAAACAACTTTCTTTGACTGAAAGACAAAAAAGAAACAAAAAAAAAAAGCTCTTGAATGCTGCATGGAGAGGTTTGAAGTCTACTGATACTCTGCATTCATTAACAAGTATTGTGTGCTGATCTAAAGGAAACAGTACATCCTGAAAATCTTCTGTACATTCTCTTTGCAGCAGGACTCTGATATATTCAACCAATAGAGTTTTGGCTTTGGGAGGGATTTTAATCTTTGAGGAAATGAAGCCTTATACAAAAGCATTGACTTATAGTTTATTTAATCTTTTATCAGAGTGCTGCTTGGTGCATGTAAAGAATCAATGTTATCACAGTCATTTTCAAACTCGGGCTTCATGGCTGTAAACAAACAAACAAAGCCGTCGCCCCGCCTAAAAAAAAAAAATGAAGGCGCAGATGGAGCTAAAGCTTTTCAGAGCTTCTCACGATGGCAGATGGTGGAGCAAGTGAAAAAAAAACACAAAATCACTTCCAACATGTTGATCCTCGTTAGTGTGGTGAAAGAGAAAAAAATTACATTTGGTCAAAGAGGCAAAGAAAGTGATAGCAAGGAGTAAAAGAGAGGACTATTAAGGAGTCAAGTCAGCAAAACAAGGGGAGGCAGTATCTGGATAAAATATGATATTCTATTAAAGGCATAAAGACACATCCTTTAAAAAGTTTTCAAAAGCTCCTACAGTATACTAAATACCTATACTATACATATTTAATGCTTTGCATAGACATCCAAACACCGCTAGTTTTCATCTTTACTGTAACGCCCCTCTGACCAAAGAAATGCTGAGTCAGTGTTTTTATATGTAATTATCTAGACTACATGTACAGTATAGAAGGAACAGATGCAAAGCTGCCTCGCCTGCAGTCCACTCCTGACCAGTCTGAAATAATGAGCTTTTAAAATGCTAATGCAGCACTTTCTGCTTAGATGGGAAAAAAAAAACACATGAAGAATGTTATGTAATGATTCTGTTGAAGCAGAATATGGAAAATGGTAAATGGACTTTAGCTTTATAGTGCTTTTCTAGTCTTCTGACTATTCAAAACACTTTTACACCGCAGGTCACACCTACACATTCACACACTGATGACAGAGCCTTCCATGTGAAGTGACCATCAGAACTAATCCCATTCATATGCTGCTGATGAAGCAGAAGGAGCAACTTGGGGTTAAGCGTCTTGCCCAAGGACACATCGGACATGTTGCTGCAGGAGCTGGGAATTGAACCCTCGACTTCCATTTAGGAGACAACCAACTCTACCAACTGAGCTACAACCACATTAAAATTATAATTTGACTTCTTCTATAAAATCAATCCCACAACTTGTGTGGTCAAAGATATTTGAAATGTTTTTTGTTTTTTTCGGTCTTCAGTAAATCATTAAACTGGAACCCCCCACCCTCATTTTTCTGTTTGAGCTCCACTGCAGAATCAAGTTTGACACGTTAAGGCTGAATTGAATATCAGCTCTTCAAAGTTTCTGCTTCTTTTACATCGGAGTGCACGACGTGGACAAAAATAATTGAAGACAGAAATGAAGATAGTTTCATGAAACCGTCACACAAGTATGATGTGGAAACTTGGAATCAAAATTTCACCCAGAATATAAAGTTTACTTCTCTCTGAACTGCGCAAAAAAAATGAACAATATCTGCACACATTTATTGTGGAAAAATCACATCAGACTCAAGTTATTGAGGTATTTTTTGAGGCGGACATTATCTCTATATTTGGCTATACACAAGAATGGAAAAACGAGTTTCCATAAATAGAAGGTACTTACATGGAGATTTATTTGGCTCATTTGAAATGTTTCTATTATTCTAAATGTAGAGCTTGTAAACAGAAATTTAACCCATTATAGTCTTGCCTTGTGTCTTCATGTTTAATTATAACCAAACTTTTTAAGGAATTACTAGAGAGTCACAGACCTGTGAAGTAAAGTATGAAAAGATAATTAGTTAAAGTCGAGCAGCAGCTGCTCTCACTCTTCTGTTTAACGTCCATTAGCTCTGAGTCCCTCAGAGAGAGAATGAGTGAGTGACCACAACCGGTGAGTGTTGGACTGTGACGGCGGCTCCCGCTTCACTCGCGGTGTAAAAAAAAAAAAAAAAGGAAACGGAACAGGTGGCGTCTCTGCTTACCTTTATTTTTCTTCCTGGTCTTTGACTGCAGGGAGGAGGAGGACTGCTGGTATGTCTGAGAGCAGGATGGAAAGAAGAAGAGGATGTAGAAGAAGAGGGAGGGAGAGCAGGCTGTCAGGATGAATCAGTGGCCTTTGTTTGCTGCAAAGAATCCTGGGATATAGGAGATGACAGATCTTAGGGAGCGGAGGAAAGGAGGCACACAGAAGGCGCGCAGATAAAAGAGGGAAACTGTCCTTCTCTCATTATCTCGTTTTTTCACACACACACGCATAAACACGCGTGTGTGGGTGGAAAAGTCGACCTCATGGAGGACTTCAGCACCTCTCACACCTCTAAACATAGAACAAAGAGACAGGGGGAGAGAGAGAGAGGGAGGGACGGGGGCACAACAGGACACCCAGGTGACGGAGGTAAAGGAGGAAATAGAGCTCGGGGGCCTCTGGGATCGGGCAGAAATGTCAGTAAGCAGAACATGAAGGACAAACAGTTTTCAAGGTCTGAGACTGTAAGTACAGCAAGAACCTGCTTTTACCTATTTGTACCGTGACTTTCCATCCTTTTTTTTTTTTAATGTTGACTGTTTTTTTGCTTTTCTTCATTTCAAAACAAGATCGACGATGAAGCTAGTCAGTAGGAACATCCCTCGTAGCAGAGCGCCACGGCTCAGCGGACTGCGGCTGACATTGTAAGTGGTTCACAAAGCGTAATAATGTCCAATATTCTGCAAACAAGACATTATTTGTTTAGGGACGGAGCATCCTGATTCTCTTTGCAAAATACTACTTTTGGAAAATGTACTCTGAATGCACACAGGAGAAGCTTTATTTTCTAAAAAAAAATTCAATCCATTAGCTGCATTGTCGTTAATCTGCAGATGAGACTTTCTCTATTTAGTAAGAAAATTATATATCAGGAAACACTTAGTCTCAAGTGTTTGGTCTCAAGTCCCAAGTAAAGACAGGCAAGTCTCAAGTCGAGTCAGAAGTCCTAACTTTGACTTTCGAGTCCTAAACAAGTCATTGGCTCTCTTCACCAAATTAAATGCCATTTTAACAGAGTAATAATTTGTTGCAGTTACACAAATCATGATTGCTTATATGATTTTATTTAGCCTACTTCTTAAAATAAAATAACAGTACGGTGTGACTGACTCCAAGTCATGTGACTCGAGTCCACACCTCTGGAAAGAGCTACAAAATGTTCTAAAGTCACATCAAAAAGTGAGACTTGTGCACATCAATATATATTTATTTATCAATCAGATCACACTTAACTACAGAGACATAAATGTATACATATATTTATCCTTTAGCATCTGTATCCCATGTCAGTTGTGCTCCTCTCAACACAAACATGTGTAGAGTGTTTGAAGTCATTACGACACAGAGAAGAAGGTATTTTGACACACTTGTCTCTTTGGCCTCATGTAGCATCTTTGCCTGGAGCAAAACCTCTGATCTGAAACATTCAACTCTATCCGACACAGCTGTGACTCGACCGCTCTGGACGGGTCAGTCGGAGCGACACACCAGCTCTGATGTCACGATATTACACGTGTCACAGCCTGGAGCTCAGGCCGCTCACATCCCCCGCGATGACACGCCCACACCCACACTGACACGCCATCTGCCGACGCAGCAACCAGCGCGCACTGTAAACACGCACTCACGCACACACGCATGCAATCTCATTTCATTTTCCAAAGAGATGCTGTCAGGACGTATAAGGTCACCGCCGGCCAAACAAACTGTCTGGACGTGAGCTCAGACGGACAGGCGGCGCAGGCCGATGTCATGGAAGTGACAGCAGGGTAATAACGAGTCAGCAGTCCCTCAGATCACACGTCACACAGAGACATTTTCATCTGGGGGTAAAAGCTCAAACATTTCCCTTTTTTCTTTAAAAACACTGGAGAGGGGGCAAAGACTGTCGCCTCATTTCACTTGTTTTACTGTGAAGAGGCAACGGAGAAGACAGAAAGAATGTTTCATAAGATTGTTTGATCAACATTATGCAACCACATCATGTAATCTAGCAGCTACCACCTGCAACTCAAGGTGGACTGAACTGTGTTTTACACTTTTCAGAATGCTGGTGCTCCTTTTTTTTATCGTTCTGTTGCACCGTTTTTTTTCCTCTGCACTTCACCTGTCAATCATGAAATGTGCTCAGTGCCTGTGATGTTTTGGATAAGAACTCTTTTTAAGATTTTTTTTTCATCCAGTTAAAGCCGAAGAGAGAAAGGACAGATTGGAAACCGAAACCCTGACAGCTACAATAAGGAGGCAAACACTACTAAAAATGTCATTGTCTGACATGTATAACTTTTCAGGCAAATAAGAGCGAATGAAGGACGTTGAATTTACTTTCTTTTGTCGTGTATTTATTTTATTTGTTTTCTACATATTTTTAATTACATCTTTGTTAGTTTTTTGTTTTTGAAATGTTTGAAATAAAGAAATCAAATCAAATTGTTAGGCTTTTATTGTAAATATGAAGTAACAGGATGCAGCTGTTAGCTTAGCTTAGCATGATGCCTTCGGCTTTGAGCAAATGAAAGAAAAAAAGAAGCATTGCAGAACTTACATAGAACATAAACACAGAGGTCTTTATCTTATTTGTTTAAACCTTACTTGTGATTTACAGTCAGACTGCCTGCTTCCAGTCTCTAAGGTTCTAATATAGAATCATTTCAGATTAATTCATTCCTTTCTTTGACTATATACAGTGACATAGACCTGGGTCTGTGTTTTGAGTTGGCAGAAGTGCTGTCATGTTTCTGTGGGGGTAAATGATAACAGAGCCAAATAATCAAATATAAGACCGAAGAAGACCCTACAGATGATTACACATCAAAACCAGAAACAGTTCAAAACCGCCAGCAAGTACATTGTTTGAACCTGGATTAGCGTGAGACCTAATATATACCTGTAATTACCGTTTATGGCCACAGGTGTCGCCAAAGAGAACCATATTCTAGATTTAAAATCTGCTCCTTTGAGATGATTCAAAAAGTTAAAATACTAAAAAAGTAGGTTTAAAACTATTTACGGGGGCGCAGAAAGTCTAGTGGTTTGGTTGCACCCCATCTACGGAGGCTATAGTCCTCCAAGGCCTGGGTTCGAGTCTGGCCTGTGACTCCTCCACCGTACGTCATTACCCACTCTCTCTCTCTACTCTATTCACCTCTATTCATCAGCATTAAAGAGAAGACTATTCAAAAGTCTTCAGACAAAATAAGTGACTTACATGATAAATGGAGGCGGGTTCTCTTGGAGGAGAGTCTCTCTGATTGGCCTGAAGCATGTAGTGGGAGGGGCTTTGGCTGTGGTGGCTCCGCCTCTTGGCTCGTTTGGCCGTGTCATTGGACCGTTTGCCGGGACGAGCTGTGTGGGAGGAGTAGTCGTCAGAGCCCGGCCTCTCGTCCATGCTGGACAGTCCCACGTATCGCATCAGCGTCGATTCTGTAATTGTAACATGACAACGGCGCACATTAATCAAACGATACACATTCTGATGCAACGAACAAACATTTAGCTGGAGCTTCAGAGCCAATTCAACTCATCCCTCTGATTCTATCTACAGAAACTTGAGGGGTTTATCCTGTGTTTTAAATATTTTATTATTGATCAAGTCCCAGATGGTATCTTAGTTTACTAAAGACTGGTTTAAAAACTGATATTTTTTAAACTAAAACTTTAAAAAGTTAAAGTGAAAATAATCTTTTCCAAATTTTCCCTGTCTTGTTTTGTTTTCTTCACTTACAGAGCACATTAAACACCGTCACAGTCTTTTAGCAGAAAGGCTAATTATTTTGAGGTGTAGGCCTAATGTTGCATGAGGGATTTTAGATAAACTGACTGTTAACTGTTAAAATCAATGCAAACTTGGGTTAATTGTTAGCTAACTAAAAGCTATAAGTCACTGCCAAAAAACACCGTTTGAGATGGGACTGTTACGCTACTGTTTCGCCTCAGCATCAATGTAAATGTCAGACAGTGTTGTTCTGCTGCTAAGCTGGCATCAAGAAGCAGCAACAAAACGGCGTCTCTTGAATGGAGTCTGCAAGATGGAACAGCGCTGTGTGTGTGTGTGTGTGTGTGTGATGCTTGTGCTGTTTGTTTACATGTCATGCCTTGTGCACTTCTGTAATATCTCAAAGCTGTGCAAAATCACACACTGGGACACGGATATGACTCCATAATGAGGTTCAATACTAACGTACAACGGTGGAGTAATGGTGGAGCTTTGTTTCAGCGCTGCTATGGAATTTAAATGTAATTTGTTTGTCTGTACAGGTTTTGAATTGAACATTAACAGAGGATTTAGAGGTTTTGCTGCACATAAAAGCACTAAATGTTGACAGTTTGAGCGTTAAATGTTGTAGTTTTTGCAAAAAATGTGGGAAGTTAGATCTATGGTGGACACTACTGACAAATATTAGTGCCTGAGCAGCTGAGTGGTAACGTTGCATGCCAAGAAAAACATCACCCATTTAGTTCAATCGAGCGAGTGTTCTTTACCTCTCTCTTTCTTTTTTCATCACTGCTCCCTGTGTGCCTCTTCACTACAGTCACATAAAGACGATAATGGCCCAAAATGTAGTCTTAAAAATATAGCGCTGTCTGTTAAAACATCGGTATGACGGAGTGTTTATTGAATATTTCTCAGGTTCACACACTCTGCGACTCTCCTCCATCCTTTTCAACCAACTTGCTCTCCTACCGGGGAGGAAAAACTCACCTCTTCTCACTACCTCTCTCCACCCTGTCCTCCCGCGGTTGCTAGGCAGCGGCCGGAGGAAAATGAGACACTGAGAAGAGCTGCTGTCAGCGTCTCCATGGCAACTGCGTGAGTGATTCAGGTGGAGGTCAGGGAGAATAGTCTTTTTTTCTTCTTGTTTCTGCCTCCTCTCATCCCTCCTTTTCTCCCTCCTCCTCTGTTCCTCTCTTTTTATTCTCTCTCTCTCTCTCTTCATCGCCGCTGCCTTTCATTTTCTCCACCTTTGTCCCAACTGTCTCCCCCCCTTCTCTTCTCATCCCCTCTTATTTCATTTCTCTGTGATGCTAATCAGAGAGAGAATTAGGGGAAGGGATGGAGGTGAATTGATCTGCACACACACACTGATCTCTGGGTAATTCAGAGAGACGGGAACATTTAGCTGGATCTAACAGGCTCTTCAGGAGGTGCGCGCACACACACACACACACACACACACACACCACACACACATATGCGCTCCACACGCCGCCACTCACCTCTGCGGCTTTCTCTGTTAAGCTTGGCTGGATCTTCGTAGTCGCCCACCCAGCTACACTCTACTGGCATGGAGATGGGCCTCAGCCTGCCTACAAACACACACACACACACACACACACACACACACATTTATAAAACGTCACATTCTCCTTTGTTATTCTGATATTTCATATTTTGGATGTTTTGAACCTTTTTGTTTATTTTCTTACATTTTTAGCACTCCCTCTCTCTCCAAAACTGTTTTATTTACTCCCTCTGATTGGCAGGTGAAATCCTCATGATTGTTTTTAAAATGGTTCAACATGGCAGCATGAGTACAACAATACAGCTACACCCTCCTTGAAAAGTTCAAGACTAATAGATGCAGCTGGCTTTACAAGTATCTGGATTTCACAGCATTTCAAAGCTGCATTCTTAAATGTTGGGGTTTTTTTTTTTAACTTTGGTGCAGCATTAGTTGGCCGTGACCACAACACCATCATGTTTTCATCCTTAAATTGCAATTAAGAATCTTTTCATTTACTGAACATGCTTTTTAATATTCTGATATTTGACATTTAGGTTCTCGTAAAGTTTTTATTCATGGACTCCAATTTTCAGAGCGCCATCTCTTTAAAAGAAAACGTACCATTTACCTCCTCAGGTTGACAGGATTAATTCGAATTTAGAAGATGAATTCTCCCCGATGCTCTTGGTGCCTCATAAGTAGAAAATGAAAATGTAGAACTTTGTTGCTGGAGATTGTTTTCTACTGTGGCTAATTCAGATATATCAACTAATTATGAGAGTAGAGCAAATAATGTGTGGTACTAACAACAAAACTCTGAGCTGAAAGAGGCTAAAGTGATCAACAGAGATGAGCTGAATTACAAAGGTGTTGTTTTTTAGGCTCTCTCAAAGTTTGTTCTCAGAGCTTCATCTCTCTCTTGACTTTTTCACACCTGACTGAGGTTGGCAGGTGGACTCGTGATTGTGTTTGAAGTGGTTCAATCCATCAGAACGAGATTGAACTCCCTCCCTCCTCTACGTCGGGAGCTCTTTCATCATAAGAGCGTACCATAAGTTGGCGTGGTGCAGTACACGGGCTCCTCGTCTTCTCGTCGCCGAGACTCTTGATCCAGGAAGGAGTTTGGTGACTCAGAGCGCTTGGCGATGCTGATGCCACCGTGGTTACGCGAGGCGTCGTCTGCGGACATTGGTCCTGTCTCATCTCTATGGCAACAGCAAAGGCAGATCTTTATTTGTCACTTTTTATCGTTGGATTTTTTTTTTAGCTTTTCAAATACACAAAGGAAGAAAAGGTACCTGGGTGTGTACGGCTCAGCAGGGGGAGGGGGGATGTGGAGGTCCTGCAGGGCGGAGTTCTTGGTGGGTGTGCCTGAGGGTGTGGCCGAGCTGCTGCCAGGGCTTCTGGTTGGCTGAAGAAAGAAAAGTGGATACGGTGAGGACAGGTGAACTTTTCTTGGCCTTTAAATTTCAACATTTCACACTTCAAAAGAATCAAATGATTGTGAAATTTAAGAAGAGGAGGTGGTTTGAGGAGACATTCCAATCCAACCAAAGAACTGTTCAGGGTTATTTCAGGTTATTGTCAAAGAATTCAAAGCTCTCTTTACTCCAAACATCCAACCAGATTGTATATTTGCTAAAAGAGAAAGTGGCTGTAAATTTTGGTTTTAGATAAAGACAGGGGACAAATTAAAGGAAAACACGACAAAAAGTTTAGTGGAAAGTCAATGCACTGACTCCAGTCACAGTATATATACGTCACTCCCCCCTCCTACTGGTTCGAGGTGAATTATCCGGATAATATCCTGCTGCGTTCTCACATTAGCCCACTCGGACTTGCTGCAAAAACAAAACTAGGGGTCTGACAGGAGAAACCCCGGGTGAAGTCAGAGTGAAAAATTCTACTCTTTGCATTTTTCAGGAGTTTTCTGCAAGTGTGAAAGCTCTAATAATCTCTCAAACAGCTTCAATGCATCCTGATTCTACAGGTTCTCTGAACTCTTCTGCTTTTATAAATGTGATTGTTACGAAAGATATTCCAACGTTCAGTTGGACGATGAAGGCGGAGAACGCTGCCTGACATTTCAGTCCAAAATCGCCTGAAGGTTTTCAACTGGGATGAAATCTGGTGACTTGAAAGGCCACAGCATATAATTCAAATCATTTTCATTTTAATTTTCATCAAACCAGTCACTAACCCGTCAGGCCCTTTAGAAGGAGGGACATTATCATCCTGGGGGATCCTCATTAGGATGGAAATGTTCTATCACAGGATAAAAGGTGATGGTTCAAAATAACTTTGTATTGATTTGTACTAACCCTTCCCTCTGAGGGGACAAGTGACCTGAAGCATGGAAACTAAATGCTCCCTGAAAGCACAACAGACCCCCTTCCTGTGGGCTTCAAGGATTTCTCTTTTCCTTTAATTTGACACCTGTCAGCATTTGAAGAGGTCATTTACAAAAACAGACACAAGCCTTTCTAAAATGAATACATAAAGACCTTTTTGTTTTGCCTGGGGCGCGTGAAAAAAATGTTTCAGTAAAATCAATAATTTGAAGATTCCAAGAAACAGATTTAATTCAAAGTGTATTAAAATCCACTGTGCAGTGTATAACACACTCTCTTAAAAGAGAAACAACAGCAGGGATGGAGGGGCAGAGAGGAACACGTTCCCTCTGTGTTCCCTGCTGTTTGTGCAGATAATCAGGCCTAATTAGTGCGATACATTTCATAATTGTTGTAGTACTGGGAGTGTGGGTGAAGGGTGCCATCAATTTCCCCTGTCCAATTCAATCCGCTGTGTTTCAGCTGGCAAACAAAAAAAAAAGAAGCCCCGCTGAGCCACAGTACCCTGACCTAATTACACGCTTTGGCTGCAGCCGTAAAGGGAGAGCGGGGAACTCCGTGGGGAATTATGTGGGCCAGTGCAGTGCTTTAATAAAGTCTATTAAAAAAAAAATAATAAAAAAAAGGTAGAGCCTGTCCCACCTGCAGTGCGAGGGGTTTCCAGCGCATGTTCTTCAGCAGCGCAGGGGCGGAGCTGAGCGTGCTCTGTGGACGCTTCTTCAGGGTCAGGGACACGACGCCTTTATCGGCCCGCAGCGAGCCGACCAGGTTACGTAACTGCCAGCCCACCTGTAGACGGGAGAGGACACGGGGTCAAAGATGATGCTTTCATGTTTGGATGAAATGAGCCGCACAATCACAGCCTTTATATTCTGCGTGCAGTTTGAATACGGTCCAAGTCGTGATTGGCTCTCGCTTGTTGAGCCTTCTGTGCAAGGCAAGTGGGTGTGGAGGTGGTGAGTCTATCTATAGAAGCTTTCATGTGATGTAACCTGCCCTCAATTTGAAAACAAATGCATCTTATCATAAATCTTTCTGTGTTTAGAGCCTCTGTTTCCACCAAACCAACCAGCACAAAAACTAAATAAAGTTCTGTTCTTGAAGTCCTCTTGCCTGTGACTTCAAGGGACAAACTTTATAATTAAGGCAAACACAATTCATTATCTTAATTGCATTTACCAGATTGACCTGAGATCTGATCATGATGCACGAGGAGGTGCAGACAAGGTTGGAGGATCTGATTTCTCTAATTGAACGCCTGCTGCCTGCATTAGCACCTTGTAGAAGTGAGGGCACGATCTGCAGCTCTGGTGTAAACACCGGGGTCGGCTTTCCAACAACATTCAAGACGGATCGATGGAGCTTTAACTCCAGAGTCTTATAGTACAAGGACTTTGTAGTGTCTTTCGCCACTTTGATGCAGCAAAACAAGCTTTAGACAAATATCACCTTCACTTTTTTAGAGGATATTTTTAATATTTTTAAGTTCAATGTTAACTCTCTGTAAGCTCTGTTTTGGTCTCCACCATCCCCTGAGAAAGATGTCTGGCACCATAGAGGTTAAAATCTCCACAATGTTCAGAAGCTATCATGCTGATTCAAAAATGCAAAGTCTTAAATGTTCAGCTTCTTTTTGTTTTGGCCTAAAATGGCTTCATACTGTGGCTTAAAAGTATAAAACGTTTGACGTAAATACAAAGACACTGAGCTGAAAGAGTGCTCAGTAGAGCTGACTGAAATGCTAAGACCTTTGAATGTATTCTTTGTTAAAAACATATGGAGAAAAGCTGCTAACATGGTCCTTTACATCTGCAATCACTCTAGAAACATGATTGTATTCTAATGATCATTTAAGAAAAGTACAAGTTGTTATTCTTTCATTAAAAGGTCATGAAAAAGGATCTCGCCCACGGAGGCAAACGTTTCCAAGAAATAATCCACATCAGGGAGGCAGGAGCTGTAAGACTTGCACTAATAATAAGCAGTAATGTAGTAAAATATTATGTTCATTTGAGAAAACAAACTAACCGTCACTATTTTAGTTGTATGACAAATTATTAAAGGAAGAATGTCTGACTTTTTGATCCAGTAGATGTCGCCGTTGAGCACCAGCATGAAACCAAAACAAACTGCTGTTTGGCCACGCCTCCTCTATTCTGAATCCTCCGCTCTCCTACAGCGACACACCTCCAACCCCTCTTCACTCACGTTTGCACAAAGGAGTTATCAAATTGAAACGCACCACAATTAAACGATAAGCTCCAGGCAAAATTGTTCTTATCTCGAGCTGCGTTGTTGTGTTAGCAGGCTAATGGTAGCTCTCTTTAGTTTGCTCGTTTACACGTAAAGACCATGATCTAAAAACGCTTTAAATAAGCGGTGAGTTCAGGATGTTATTCTTCTTTTCTCTAGTCCCTCACTTAAACAGCTTTTATACGCGAGGGGAGGAGCCGGCCGGCCGTCCTGTCCATGTAAACACGATGTAGATACATCCCAGACAACGGGACTCACTCATTGTAGACAGTCAAGACTCACAGAGATATTTACAGAGATAGGATATACTGGAATTCTGCTATTTTAAAGTGAAATGTCTTAGAGTCTTCCTTGAAGTTATTAATGGTGACATACAGGATAAAAACAGGATCATTAAATATTACATTTAACTGATCCAGCTATGATGTTTAATTTACTCTTTATGACTCAAAGAGCAATTATGAACACACATGAACACCGAATCTAAAAATAAACATGAACACAAACTCAAGGACGCACACACACACACACACACACACATGAATACACTAGAAGACACTGACCACAGTCTGGTGATTGACTTGAATGACTTCATCTCCTGCGTGGATCTTCTTACAGCGGTCAGCTGGAGACTTCAGAGACACAGCAGAGAGACAGAGAGAGAGAAAACAAGACGAGTATGAATTGATCTGAGCTCCGTGCGAGCCAGCTGTCCAACAAACTGCACTTCAGCACGCTGTAATGCAACAGAGGGGGGGAAGCCTCACAGGGTCGTCCCTATGGAATCTGATGTGCTGTTGTGAATCCAAACATTGGAGTTTTAAAGCTATGCTGAGAGAGGAGCTCGTCTTATTCCTTTAAAGCCTCAGGCAGGGTGAGAAATCCACTTCGCTGGTGTTTGTTGGAAGTAGTTTATAGAGCCAAAGCGTTCTGCTAGATCTGTATGGATTATTCTGCTCCATGTCAAATAGAGGTTTTCCTTTACCTTCTAGATTCAGTTTAAACCTTTTCTGAACACAATTTGGGACTAAAGAAATATTTTTATGTTCTGTTGCCACTGGGGTTTTTTCCCAATTTGCACTAAAAAACAATTTTGGTGGAGAGTTCAATCATTTCCGACTTCCTGTCTGTGTCTGTGTTACACAGAATATTACGGACTACATTTTTGTCAAAACTGCAGCTCAGCGGATCTATTTATTTATTTTTTTAAATCTATTTTTTAGTATCTATCTATTTTTTTGTACATTCTTAATTTTTCTTTTTTTATTTAAATTGTGCTGTGTTCACTTTTTGTTTGCAATCTTTGCTCTTTGCTGCTGTAACACTGTAAATTTCCCCGTTGTGGGATAAATAAAGGATTATCTTATCTTATCTTAGACTTTAAATTCAGTATCGGCACCTACATCACAGTGCACTAGTGATAACGAAGCGCAGACATATTTTTCATAACAAGCTCCTGAAAATGTTAATAAAAAAAAGATAACTGGGTGGTTTTAAGGTCTCAGATATTTCAACAGAGTTCATATATCTGTGCTTTTTTTTTTATTCTGGCCTAAAATAAAGTTTTACATCATGTTTACATGGACGGGACGACCTTGTGCATAAAGATGTTTTAGTCAAGGACTAGAGAAAAGAAAAATAACAAACTCACTGCTTATTTGGATGTCATGTGAGTGTCTTTAGATCACGGTCGTTCCCTGTCAATTTATGTTTAATGTGAATCTAGGGGCTAACTAAAGCGTGCTAACACAACAATGCAGTACACAGGTAATTGCAGCTCAAGCCAAGGATAATTTGCTACTTGTGCTTAATGGTGTTTAATTATGATGCGTTCAAATGTATAACCCCTGTCTTGTGAACACGAGGAGAGAGGGGTTGGAGGTGTGACGCTGGAGGAGAGCGGAGGCTTCAGATTAGCGGAGGTGTCGGCAAACAGTAGTTTGTTTTGGTTTCATGTAGATGCGAAAAACTCGCGTTCAAATAATAATAATTCTATCTTAAACAGCATCTACTTAAGTTAAATAGGATGTAAAATGTATACAACAGTCTCCATTTGATTAAAATGATCCATGGCACTGTGTGTAAAGGGACTCGTAAGCATCTCACCCCTTCAGTGGTTCCGGTGATCACATGGAGGCCGTCGTACGTTGACTTGATGTACATTCCCTAGAGGAAAAAAAAGAGGAAAAATGTACTTTTGTTTAATATCCAGACTTACATCCATCCGTGAAATCTGAATCTTGCCATTTGCTTTATCAAATCTTCTTACATTTACCTTCAACAGCTTCAAGTCATAAAAAACCCAACTCAAACTCTGTTGTTGGTTCATAAGCCAAAAATAAAGCCCTTTCTACTGGCTGCTTAATTAATGATCACGACCCAAAACTCAGTGGAGCAGGAGAAAATATGAAAAGTTAATTTATTGTATGTGACACATTCATTCAACAGCTGCGGCCGTCTGTATTTCATGAGCAACTCACGTCCTGTTTCAGTTCAGAAGTCTTGCAGATTAAAGTGTTTATAAGCCGAGATGAAAGTTGACTGTGAGACTTTTAAAAATGACTTCAGGGTCAAAAACAATCTTCGGCTGAATACAGACACCAGCTGCACATGAGCCAGAGAGGAGACAAAGTGAACTGAAGTTACATTAATCATCTGCAGCTGACGTCACCTGTCATTTATTAACGCACAAACACGCAGCTGGCTGGAAAAAAACAAAACAGAAGCTGCTCCCTAAATGTGTTCCTCGTCACTAATATGAATAAATGAATTAAAGGTGTAACAAGAGATTTATTAGAAGTGGAGCTTATCATCGTCCTGATATTTCCAGATCTGGTGAACATCTTCTGAAACCCATCTGAATCTGACAGTGTCATATGTCTGAAATGCAAAGTGATGGAGAAGGTTGAAGATGCGAGCAGCTTCTTACAATCTCTACATTTAAGTTTAATGCATAAAATATCTGAAAGAAATGGACTTTTGCATTTCAGCTTCAAGATGAAACCAACGAGGAAGGGCCTCAACCTTCTTTAACGACTGGCTCTCTGTGTACGGTTTCTTTTAACATGATTTCTTTATGTTGGTTACCATTGTAACTTTGGATTAATGTGCTTTCTTACAGCCAGCAGGGGGGACACTGCACTGGTTGTAAAAAGAAGTCAGATTGTATAAAAGAGTCAATAATATCGCTCATGATTTGTTCCTTCGTAAACCATTTCCTCATAGGCTTGTGTTCCAAATAATTAAAGTTTCAAGCCCTCTTCAAAACTGTGCAAAACTGATGTTGTGAGGTTCAGTATTCGGTGTGAGCAAGGTATCCTTTAGGCTATCTTGGATTGACAAGTTGCTTCCACACCTGTGAACTAGTTCAGAAATGAAGCAATGGCAACTTGTAACTTCAAAACAACCAGGATGGAAATGGCTGCTTAAAACGTTGTCTCATATTTACCGTCTATGGTTCATTATTATGCAGCACCTTCAGTAAACTAGTAGAAGTCATAAGAGAGCTGTAACTGACCTCAGCTGTCATCATGTCGTTGTACATTCATATTGAGTCCGAGAAGGCGTAATATATCGGTGTCCCAGTCTGTGAATTCAAATTGCGCTCAAGGGGAGCTCCACATAAAAACACAGTCACATGCGCACACACACACACACACACACGCACACACAGCGCTGGGCTCGCCTCGCCTCTATAACGCCTCTCTTTCTACCTCTGAACACGGTACAGATGTGGGATCACTTCGTCCCCCTGTTGCACCTCTGCAACATTCAGACTGAAGGGGAAAGGTCACAGGGGCGTGAATAACACGGCTTGAAACAGCAGCCTGAGTAGGACTCGAGTAATTATGACGAGAGGAAAGGAAAAAGTCTGGTTATGTAAGAAACAAGATGCTTTTTAAAATCCAGTTTAACATTCAAGAGTTTCTGATTTTATTACCCTGAAGGAAATACATTTATGATGACGGTTTTTGTCTCTTCCAGTTTTTAATTAGCCCAGTGACAGATTCATCAGGAGCTCAAATAGAGAGGTTAACTATGTTAACTGTTAAAATAAATAATAATAAATTTGACTTTTAACAAACCCTGAAAGTTTAATTTTTGAATGTCTGACTGACAAGAAACTCAAATGTAGCGTTTGGATTATTCTCTTCATGGTGCTACAGGAAAAGAGGCTTCAAGGACAACGACTGACTCCGGATTAAGACTAAAAGTCATCCAATGCAATGTGATGTTTTATATTCAAATGAATAGAGTATTTCATACCCTGCAAGTTGTCATCATAGCACTCAGAGTTTCTAACTTTGCAGAATAAGAATAAATACCCGAGGTTAGAAAAACTGTGTTGCAATAACTGTAATGGAAAATAAATAAGTAAAGTACAAAACATTAAAGTTCCTATTAGGTGGAATGACTTCACATAATGATAAGATGATATCCAATAAAGTGTTTGATGCATTAATCTCTATTTACAGATTCTATACAGAAATGTAGATTCTAACTCTGGGGTTAGATTTTCAGCGTGGGATGTGTTAGCGTTTGTAGTCCGAGCTGCATTTGTAGTCCAAGCTGTATCAACCAATAACGTATCAACAGGCTTTGGTTTAAGCAGGAGAAACAATCTGTGCAGATTGAAATAACATACAGAACAATGCTCTTACTCTTATTGGCCGAAGACAATGTTACCGTTGCCCACTGCTGTGTTACTTTATAAAGCTATGATGATACCGTAACATGTTTTACAGTAAATAATATACAATACAAACACTAACATGTCGGGCTTTGAGGTAACGATCTCCTTAACAATCCTGCTGTTATGCATTAGAATAAAACCCTGCACACACACACACACACACACACACACACACACACACACACACACACACACACACACACACAGAGTCCTTACCAAGCCCTCAGAGGGTTTGATGTTGGTGAGGTGAACCAGCTCCAGGTGGGCTGACTGAGAAACCAGCGGGTCTGATGACACACACACGATGTGCTCACACACCTCCGACAGAGTCTTACACTGCGGAGAAGAAAAAACAAGAGAAGAAGAGTAATCATACACAAAGAAAACAACCCTGTGTGTCTGATCACCCTCCTTCACAGAGGATGTTACAGTTTCTTTATTAGAGTCATTTTCTTTTGCTCTACAGAGAAAATTAAAGAAGAGATTCCCCCTTCTTTATTGTTTTTATTATGTGTTGCTTCCTGTGGTACTTTAAAGAGTCACTTCATGTAAACTTTCCAAAGAGAACACATCTTATTCCTTTGCTTAAAGTACAATAAAGCTATTTGTATGTTTTGTTCCAATGTTTTATCTGATCCACGGTGAATAAATAATGGAGGTGATTTTAATGTGCGCTGCCAAAAGCATTGAAAGACTGAATATAAATGAAGAGCAATATTTTTCAAAGCAGGGATGATGAGACTGTGCGCAACATGCTGTCACTTTTAAGGACCATTTCCCAGAATGAAAGTAGTTAGAATAAAAAACAGCTGACACACATTTATGGATCGCATGATGTAGTGCCTCCCAAAACTTTTAAGAAACTTTGTAAAGAAGACGTAAAAAGATTTCTGCTGCTTCAACAGTTAATCAAACGCGTGAGAATCTTCTGAATGTTTTGTTACATCTTCCTCTGGATATACTTCCACTAAATCTGATTCTGGATCGATTGGTGTTTCTGTCGATTATAAAGTAAGATGTACCTTCTTTTATCATTTTGACGGACTTTATTGTAGCAGGTTAAGCTCGGGCAGAACTAATATGATTAAAGATGGCTCCCTGAGAGCAATTACTGAAATGCTTAGTGGCAGCGGATCAATTCAAAACACCAGGCAGGGTTCCCACTTTTTTCCAGAGATCATTTTCCAGGACATTTTCAGCGATGATCGCAGCTCCTTTTATTAACGTGTGGCTGTAAAAAAAAATGTCCAACCCTGTCGGAGAGTGTTGGAATCATTTTCCAGGACAACACGTGCTTTTTTCAGGACAGTTTTTCATGTTTTCCTGTACGAGAGGGAACCCTGTCAGGGTTTGACAAACTTTGGATTAATAAAAACAATCAGCAGCAAGCTGTAGAACAAATGTGAGCACTTTTTAGTTTTTGGGTTCTTAAATGGAGTAATTCCATTTTGTGCCATTTCACATTTTTATACTTTCAACTCTACATCACTGACAGAAAAGCTGCAATTACTGAATAACTTTGAATTAAGATACATTGCAGATGTAAGTAAGTGAAAACATTTCAACATGTTATTGGCCGCACAAGGCAGTTTAGATTACGTACTTTAAGGTTAGCAGTGACGCTAACACTCCCAAGTCAGAATACTTGAAGATTCTCCTTTTCTCTATATTCTGACAAAGTTGTGTGAAAACAGCAGTAAGAGTTGAGCTACAGACAAGAAGCTATTAGCCTAGCTTAGCATAACCTAAAGACAGAGACAAGAAGCATGAAGAGCCATGCTTCTTGCATGTGTTAGTTAGTAGTTGTGTTAGAAAACACAACTACCAGCCCCTCTTACATAACTAAAATAGAAATGTATTTTTAATGTTTTATTCAATACACTACATGAGCAGGACATTCGTTTGATTTACTCAATTTGTATTTTATATTCTAGATAAGTGGAGTTTATCCGTGGTTATCCGAACAGCTTCAGTTATTAACAAGACTCAGTTAAGTAACTTTAATTCGCTGCTATTGGAGTGTTTCTTTTTTTTTAGTAAATACAAGCCAGTTGTTTCTCCTGTGTTCATTGTTCATGCTGAAGCTAAGCAAATATTTGGCCGGTAGCTTTATTGTGTATTTAACAGAAGACTTCTCCTGTAACTCTTAGCAAGAAAGTCAAAACACATGTTGCTCAGAAATGTCCCAAAATACTACAAGACGAACAGTTAAGCTTCATTAAAATGTTAGATCCAGAAGGGGATTTGAGTCTCATTGTTTGTGGAGTGTTGTATGAGTACTGAAGGTGTGAGATGTGAAATCTTCATTTAAAAGAAAAAAACAAAACAGGGATCTAATCAACAGCACAGCGCAAATAAATGACAGCTGGACGAAGAATCAAGACTCACCACATGAAGGATTTTGTTCTCCGTCTCAAACACCGTACAGTCCTGCGGGAGAAGCAGAATTTAATGTAGCGCGAGCAGAACATCCTGTCGTGCAAAAGCTCTAACACACACACACACACACACACACACACACACACACATCAGCCTTGTATACATTCTGGGCTTCACACTACTGAACCCTACACCCTGCAAAAGTCTAAACCCTGACAGATAAAAACACACCCACGCAAACAGACACACTTATCTTTATTTACACACACATCAGTCATACAATAGACAGCCTGTAAAGACATAAATAGCAAAAAATTCGAGACTTGCTCAAGGATGTAGAGAGTCTGAGGCTGCTGCATCACGCCCCACACACACACACACACACACACACACACACACACACTGTTCTTAGGGGGATATGACAGCCATGGCAGAATACAAGCACACACACACACACACAGGCACTCAAACAATTCCACACACCTGCTGTACAATGGTGGTGAGCTCCAGGCAGAGCTGAATGACATTATTTCGGGTTACTGAGTAGTCTGCCACTGCAGCAAAGGGAGACCTGGAGGGAACAGATAACACAGCGGTATATCTTCAAATGTTTCTGCAGCATTAGATAATGTAGAGAGGAGATGGACACGAGCATTGTTCGAGAGACAGATACTGTGTCTGCACGTACACACACACACACACACACACACACACACACAAACACACAAATGCAGCAGTTTTGAGACTAATTCATTGGTGTACATAAGAAGTTGTTTACGCTTAGTAAGGTAACAAATTGAATTTTTGTACAGCTAACTAAAAAATGGACAAAGTTGACAGAACTCAATTCTATCAAATGATGAAAAGATGCAAATGTTACCATCTCCCTAATTACATTGATTAAGAGTGTGTCCCTCTCCAAATACTTTGGTACAGGTTCATCTTTACAAGCTCCTGATAACGACACATATTCACCTGTGACGTTGGGCTAAAGTGGTGGAAGTGATTATGTTGGGAACAAAGTTCTCCAAAGTCTATTTAATGACTGAGCGAGTGTTGAGCAGTCTGAAAAGCCAAGGGAGGTCGTGTCTGCAGGACAACATCAGTGCATGTGGAGCTGACTGTCCTGTTCACTGGTTTTAATGTGGGATGGGGTTTGAGTCTAATTAAACACCATGACTTTGAGCGATGCTGCCAGAGGAACCATGATCGGGTGTTGCCTTGGTGTGCTGTCTAAATGTGCCTTTATGGGAATGAATGAGCCTCTGTAACCTCATTCATTAAACTGTGATTGGTGCTGCAATTGAATGGAGAAAAGTGTGCACACTAGCTAAACACACACACACACACACTGATAATGCTCACCTGCAGGCATTTCCCCTTCACCATAATTATGGAAAAGCTGCACACGAGAATAAGCCTCGTAAGCAACCCCATTATGAGGTTTTAAATCTTGAGTGGCCAGTGAGGCATGTAAGGTAAAGAATGAGCTCAAAATGAGTCAATGTTTTGTAATGACGCCAGTAAGAAATCAAAACCAAATTGTTCTGGAGACCGTAGAGAAAAAACGCCTTTGGTGTCCTGCCTCCTTAAAGTGGAGATTCAACTTGTAGTGTTCTTTCACAAAGGAAAAGGGGGCCACAGCTCCAGTGGACAGTTGTATGAAGCTGCATTGGAGAATCAGGTAAATAGGCCACACTGTTCTGGGAGCGCCGATTTACACTCCTCGTAAGGACTATTAATTTAAATCCAGCGTTTGGGACCAAACACTATAAAAATATAAAAAAAGCTGTTAAGACGAGTGTTCCTTTTAAAAAATGAAATAAACTGTGAGGAGGTTGTTTACCACTGTGGATCTATCATTCTACAAAGTCTCCCACACGTTTGTTTCACTTGTCAGACCTTCCTATGCAGTGTGCACATTCTGCCGTGAAGTTTGTTTTCATGAAACCTTTGTCTCCTGTGAGAAGAGAAGTCTTTAAAGCCTGTTTTGTGTGAACACAGTGTTTATAAATGAGGCCCCAGGCGTATAGTAACATAATAGACTATTCAGGTGTGAACAAGGTGTTAACGATAAGGAACACGCCGCAGCTAATGGGGTGCTAATGACTGCATACACACACACAAAAAAAGCATATCAGAAATCCTGCATACATTCTGACTCACATGCAGCACTAATATACAGCAAAGTCATTACAACAACATACACACATCATAACTTTGCTTCATTGTCCCAAAGACCCAGATTAAAATTCGGCCACAGCCTCTGGTGTATGCTGTACTATCTGTGGTATGTGTGTGTGTGATTTGGGTCATCAGTATTGAGGCTGTGTGCTATATATAAACAGGTCCTAAGGCTACACAGACTGTTTGCTAACCGTAAGGCTCCCTTCCTCAAAGATCAATGAAAAACACTTCTTAAGTTTTTAATACACGTCTAAATTTCGCATGTACATTGTTAAAAAAGTGTCAGCTCATATTGTACGTCTGAATCGTTTACGACGTACGACTACAGCTCACACTGTGCAACCTGATTGTCCAGCACGATTTCAGCGCTAACACAGTACGTGCAAAATTGAGACGGAGAATTGACGGGAAAAAAAACTTCCACAGACAGAAGTTAAAGTTCAATCTCCTATTTCAGATGTCCAGTACGCACGGCTAAAAATACAAACTTTAAATGATTTAAAAGTCAGTGTTTCCCCTACCATTATATTAGGGGGGCCTCACCCCCCCAAAGCTGTAAACCAAGGGGAAACATTGAAAGTTAAATCAAAAGGACACTGATCTTTACCCATAGAACTACTATCTAGTATTGTTTGTTTTTGTAAAAGAAAGTATGGTTCTTTTTCTTCTTAACCTGCCAACTTGTGTTTAGTTTAATAAATACACTGGAGTTTCTAGACTTCTTTTCCCACTGTATGACACATCTTATCCCATCTCCCCCCTATCCCTTTTTCAAGCCCGGCACAGTTTCGGTAGACGGCTGAATTCGTCATGAGTCTGGATTTGCCCAAGAGTTCTGCCTCTGCCACTGTAACTTCTACAAAAATGTGTTCATGATGGATTAACGCTGGGTCTTTGTAATATAACAATGAGTACGGTCTTCTACCTGCTTTTTGGAAGTGCGTCTCGAGATAACACCTGTTGTGAATTGACACTATACAAATAAAGATTGATTGATTGATTGATTTCTTCCTCCAAATAATGCCACAATCTTATTTCGTTTCTCATGATTTAACCGTCAATACCATCGTTCAGTGTCGAAAGTAATGTGCAGCAATCTGAGAGTAAAGGTGAGGAGGTTAGGGTGGGGAATGGGAATGCAGTGTGACTGACTGTTTACCACACTATAAGCATATCACTATTTGCAAAAGCTCTTAAAAATGATCTGAATCATTCCAAGGTTATTCATAGTCTATTTTTATCTGATCGACCAAGTTCCTTCTCTTTCCACCCCCTCTCACATATTTCCCTCCCTACCTTACCTCTCCCTCTGCTCATCCTGATTCACATCCATTCCCCACCTCTTCCCTTCTTCCACCACCTATTATTCAGTCCCTTCACAGCTGCTGTCTGGGGCTCCTGATTGGCTCAGGTGGCTCAGTTCCCAAGACGGATCCTCCACAATAAGCCTCCTACTTCCCTACCTAGAATATACGCCTCCTAGACTTAACTAGACTGCAACTTTCTCTCCCACGTCCATCCCTTTCCTTAACTTCCGAACATTTCCTCGTTTGATTACACCTTTAAAATAACTTTGTTGTAGTTCTGTCCTTGCCAATGAAATTGCAACTGCATGGAGAGATATTAAACCTGAAGGTGTCCCAAGAAATAAAAAGAGTGAGTCGATTCCTTTCCTTCACCTCATCATCTGGTATTTGATATTAAAAGTCAAGTCGTCAGGTGTTACAGTTTAGACTATGACCAATACAGGACAAAAGATCACCTGAGAAAATAACTCAAAAACGTAAGTTAAACTGCCACACATCTCCAGCATCTCATATGACAATGGATAACTTGAACAAGCTTTAATATGCTCGGCTTTACATGTCAAATATATCTTGTCATTCTAAGGATGATTTAGATTAATAAGTTGCCTGACTTCTCTTTGACTTGCGGGGAATAAAATCAACAAAGGCCAACACACTGATGGCATTTGACAGTGAGCATTGTTGGAAGAAGAATTATGAGCCTTACTTTGAATAAAAGCTCAAAAGGCATAAATGTAAAAGTAATTCCACTGTAAGTTAAAGTCCTCCAATCATGTTGAATTAAGAAAGGTTGCAGTGTTTGTACTACAGATCAGTAATAGTATTAAAATGTTTTAAAGTATCAACATCAAAGTACTTGGTTTGAAGAAAACGCAATATCACATGTCTGAATTGTTACTCAGTTTAAAACTGTTACTACTGTATTGTTGCTAAAATGTTTCACCACTGGGTAGTATTAGCCAGTCCTTTTCTCTCTATATTTCATTCATAATTTAAAGGTTTTACGGTTTTATTTTAATTTTTTAATTATAATTAATTTATTATTATTAGTATTATTTTTTCTTAATTTAATTATCTTTCCTCTCTTCGTACCTTTTCTTTGGATTTTTATCTATTTTATTTTATTTGATGTTGTATGTATTCTTGTATGTTTAAAAAATTACATATAAAAATCTGCCAGAATGAACAAAATTTGTGATGAAATATGACAACTTGTAATGAAGTAAAACAGCCTGCAATAAAGTATTTTAAAAAAACTGTTACTACTGTATTGTTGCTAAAATATTTTTAATGAAAAATTGCACAAAACCAATCTCGATCCTCACCACTGGGAAGTATTAGCCAGTCCTTTTCTCTCTACATTTCATTCATAATTTAAAGCCTGCTCATTTACTTTATTAAAAATAGTAAAACTCTTTTCAAGCCATCAGCTAAATACATCACACATAATCTGTGGACCCTCCCCTAGGGGGTATGTTATTACTTCAGAGGAGGTGATTTCAAGTGTGCATGTAAAGAAGAGATGAAGATTTCAAAGAAAGAGAAAAAAAACCCGTCAAATATCCAGAATGATGAATGACAGTTTCTCATTGTCTCCATAACAGATTTTAGAAAGAAGGGTTTGTCTTCTGCACAGTGTGTCGATTTGATGTCTGTGTTTGATGGTGCATGACAGCACAGATAAAGAGAAGAGTATGTATATGAGGACACATCAGGGTATCAGAGCGAGGAAAGGAATGATGTGAGTTCTTATTGTACTGATGAAAGGTTGCAAAAATGTCTTCTCAAGGCATTTAGAGAGAAACTACAAAGCGATGTACATTTGCTGCCTGGGCGCTGAACTGATGCTGTACTCTTCCTCCCTCCCTGAGAGGTGTAATAACTGGCAATCAGGGAGAGATGAAAGTTCAGATTCAACACTATTTATGCAAATGTGCTGCTGTTGTAGACCTTTTAGGAAGGAGTAATCAAGACAAGACAGACTGTATCCTTGCATGCTTGAAAATCTCTTCCACATCGTTAGGGTGCGTTGATGAAATTACCATATCATCCACCTCGCAGCTCTTATTTCAATAAAAAATTAATCTAGTTTTACTCCTCATTTGTTATTCCCGGGCGGTAAAAATCAATTTCCAGAAGATGAGATTTCATTGAAATAAAATCTCCAAATGGATGATACGCCTGTTAAATATAGCGCTGAGGCGTCACACAGCTAGGAAATTCACATTTAGAATATAAAGGATGTAAAAATAAAAGGAGTGTTCAACAATGTCTGAACAGATACGTCTCAGAAATGGAGAATTGAGAGCACGAGGCTCCGCTGAGTCTTTCCCATCTTCAACGTCGCTTTGCCATTTACAGTTGCATCATTGTGAGTGGGCGATCGCATGTGTGTGCTTGCATAAGTGTGTGTCAGTGCACGCGGGTGTGGGTGTCTGTCTGCGAGTGTGTGTTGTGCACATAGTGTGTGGGTGTGTTTTCTACGAGTCTGAGTGTGCCCGTGTGGACGTGGCTCTATATGCTTCAGTGTGTCTCGATGGCCCGAGGACAGATGTGGGTTGCCCGACATTTCAAGAAGCGAATGCCAAAGACCTTTAGTACCGAGTGTGATGTGTGCGTCGTCGTGTGCAGGAGATCGTCGAGTCATGAATAAATGAAGTGACAGAGACGAGAGATGGCGAGAGACAGAGAATCAAGGTGAGAAAAAGGTCTGACATTATCCCTTTAAGATAACATATTTCTGAGAAGATGTCAACAAGCGGCAGCTCCAGGAGAAAGAGAGTTTAGAATCTGCAGATTTAAGATTTAGCTGAAAACTGCATACATACTGTAAATGCACAACAGAAACTTAAGTGGGGTACACACTGCAAGATAATCAGGCGGACTTGGCCCGGTCTTCAAAATGATCCAATCTACTTGGAAGAACGTTTGAATGGTTTCAAATCGAAAGTATGACATCTAACGTTTACTATTTAAGATCTGATCTCCTATTGGGGGAGGGAACATCAAAGACAGCAGAGCACACACAGTTGATTGTCATGTGAATGAAAAAAAGCAGCACAACGTACACAGCGAATCATCTTTTGACTCTTTTAGTGATGGCCAGGTTTTATGCATGACTTCAACAAATTGCAGATTTTAACTCAAGGTACTGCAAAATCTGGAAGTCTGTCGCAGTCTGTTTTTGTTTTTTGTTATTTTCTGTGCCGCTGTGTGGCTTTTTTAGTACCATATGTGTTCCCTTTGTGGAGTTTGCACTCCCACTCGATACAGTACAGTAGTTGAGCTCCCGGCCTAAAGTGAAAGTTGTGAAGTAGAGACCAACACTCCGCAAGTAATGCTTCCCACCTCCACTGGTCACTCATTGGCTTTAATTGAGGGGTCATTTAATCAAACTAGCACTCCACAAGGTATATTTACTGAACAATAGACCATTTTCTTTAAATGCAGGGTTAAAAGTGGCGCTGCCAGCCTGGTCTGAGACACAACATATCCAGGCACAGCTTAAAATAAACCTTGAATGGGTTTATTGTACCCACACTGTAATAATTTATTTGAATTTCATCATAGCTCTTAATTACAGTATTGTATTTCCCAAATAATAGCGTGTGTGTGTGTGTGTGTGTGTGTGTGTGTGTGTTGTTGTTGTTGTTATTTACCCCATTTTATTTGTGAGCCGGGTCTCGTTAACTAAAGCTCACCCAGGAAAAAACTGTGAACCCATTACCTGTCCAGCCAGGCCAGCAGGCTCTTCGCTGCAGTGATGAGGTCGACCACAGAGGTCAGCAGGTCATTGGGAAGCCGTCGTGAGGTCCTGCTCTCCGATTGGCTGCTGCGACGGCGCCCGGAAATGAAGTTCTGCAGGTTTTTGGCTGAGGCGCCGAGTTTGTGGGCCAGAGTCCTGACGCTCTCGGTCTCGAGACCCGAGTTCTACACAAACACAAACACACACGCACACACACACACACACACACACACACACACACACACACACACACACACACACACACACACACACACACACACACACACACACACACACATACAGGCCTATGTCACCAACTGAGGACGATCGCTCTAAACAGTCTAAGTGAGGTCCTCGTACTTTATGAGGAATTTAAGACTATAATTACAAACTTTTTCTAAGTTTGTGATCGCAGCTATTTGGAGATGAAAGACTTTGATACAGTACAGTAAGAGTTTACTTTCTGCATTCCATTACATTGTGCATTCAAGCAGAACACAAATACATTAACAGCTGCAGCGGTAAAGATGGCTAATGGGAGTCCAGCAGCGCACTGAAACTACAAAACAAATGCACAAACTCACCAGAGCACAGAGCAGGTCTACAGCCTCCAGAATCAGCTCCTGGTGTCCTATGCGAGAGACTCCCAGCTCCTCCAGTTCAGCGTGGCTAATCCTCAGCAGCCTCTCCCCGCACACACCTCCTCGCTCAAAGACACACACATATTGCTGCAAGCAGTCATCCAGACCTGCAGCAAACACAGATATATTTTAAGGGTGACTCACATTGAATACACTCATATTTGTTACAAATTGAGATCACGGCCCCAATAGAATAAATAAACAGTTTTTCTTCTTAGGGGCATGGTACTGTTGAGGAGAGTTTTTCCTATCAAACTTCTCAGTAGCTAGTAATGGGCATTCTCTTAGTTGACTATTAACTCATATCTGCTTAAAGAAAATCTTAAACAATTTGTAACAATTGAAACAAAATGTAATCTGTTTCAAGAAATTAAAAAAATATATATGAAAAGAACTGCAAGAGCTTGTTTGAGAACCAAACAATGAAAACACTTTTTTTTTTCGCTTATGAAAACAGTTGAAATAATATCAACAGGAAACATTTCTACAATCCGGAAGTAGACTTTCAACCTGCAGGAAACATATTCACTCATTCAGGCAGGTGGTGAAGCCTGAGACTTTTTTCAGATGTAAGTTGAATTCGTCAACAAGCTCATCTGAAGATTCAGCAGGTATGGAGCAACATTATGGGAATGGGGAAAAAATGCAATTGTTAATTTCTACTATTCTGAATTGATTCAAAATGCCCCAAAAAATCTATTTTTTAAAACATACTTTCTATTTTTACAAGTACATTTTCACTAGCAGCCAGTTTGAGGCTGATGGCATTTTATTTCGTGCACCCTTTCCACCTTCCTTAGTGCACTGATTCAGCAGAGGCAGTGTCCGTCTTGGCTTGTCAGTCACGCTTCTAACATTAGCTAGACTTGTGGCTTCTTTTCCACATGTAATCCCACTCTCTCTCTCCAGTTTCCTACTCCATCCACTGTCCTCTCAAATAAAGAAAAAGCCCCACAAGATAATTTTTTTTTGCAAATGCATGGGAAGAACTTCAGGGTTAATTCAAAAGCAGAGCTCATATCATATGATGCCACCAACCGGAATTCAAATAAGTGAAAAGATGGCCAACATGTTTTGATCAACACACATAGCATCACTTTCCACCAGCCAATCCTGAACTGGCAAAAGATAACTAGATCCATTATCTGATTCATTTCAAAACACCTGTGTACCTCCAGCGTTGTCAACTATGAAGTCTTAAGAATTATCATGTTGGCCTTTTTTTCCCTGGCAAGATTCTGAGAAATACTTGGTAAACTGGCCTAAGCCCAAAAATTTAATTCTCATTAAAGTATTTTACAAATTAAGCATGAATACATTCTAATATTTGTTTTAGGTTTAACAGCTGATGAAACATTACACATATAAAAGCTCTGTTATATTGAACATATTTTCTTGAGCTCATTGGTGTCAAATAGTAATTTTCCGCTTCTTAGTGCACAGCAGACTGGAGGAGATCCTGATGAAATCCCCCCTTTGCAACAAATGAAACGATTTAATGAAAATAGATTTAAAATCAAATGGTGGCCCCACACAAATCAAAATCATATTGGATCATAAGATTTTGAAACATTCATGCCCTTAAGCAGCATCAGCTAAGTTACATTTTGTCACGTCACGGCTGAACTATTGTTTAAAGGTGTTGAGAATTTAGATTTCTGATTGTTATCATGTGTTTTTATGGCAAATAAGAGAATACACGTAAGGGGGGAAATAGATTATAGCCACCAGACACAGGAAGAGAATCTCATTCCACCGACACCATCTCTCTTCATGACTTTTCCCGGCTTAGACTCAATTCAAAATGTCCATCCCCTGATCGATAACCAGACACATCCCTGCTTGAAATTATAGGTTTTGGGCTGCACTCCAGTTGCACTAATCAGCTTTCCTTGCCATACGTTTTTCCCTCTTCAAAGTCAGCCTATGAGGAGGATAGATGCTTTTAGTCTGCATCGGAAAACACTAGACACAGATTTAGTCATTCCTGTTCATCTCAGATAATGCAACATCTGCTGTGTAATGTTTTTTGTTTTTTTCAGACATTCAGCTTGTTTGCAGTTTTGCAGATTTCAGCCGAGTGCTGCTTTATAAAACCGTGGTGCAATGAGGGAAAAGCATAAAATATGGTTTGTTTTGAAAAACACCTCAGGGCTGGAAGAGGCTTTTTTTTGGGTCTTGTTTTCTTTTCTTTTTCTTTTCCACATAAGGAAGAAAACATTTTGTTGGATTTATGAGCCAAACATTTGACTTTGAGGCACTTTCACCTTTAAATGGGGTAAAGAACGAGTGAAACTTCTCAAAGATAGACAGTTTCTGTTCCCCTAATGTACAGTGCTAAAACGCCTGATAAAGTTGGTTGACCTGGACCTGTATCATGGCCAGACAGCTTTATAACCTCTTAAAGTAATGAAGCTTAAACTATACAAGTGTACTTGCAAATTCAATTTTTTATTAATTTATCAATATACATTTTTATTTTTAACATATTTGCTTTAAATGACTGACATTTAGATTTTTGTGTTATATATTTTTAAGACAGTTATCATTAGTTGCTTACTTTTACATTTATTTTAGTATACTTATATCAGAAGCTTTAATATCGTTAATTCAGTTTGCCTGTTTATCTGTGTTAATATTAACTCTGATTTCCTTTTTTTCATAGTTAAACATGGAAGTATCACGTCATCTGTAATATGACTAAAGAAATGAGAAACATCTAAACTATGTTTTCTAAAATAGATTTCAACAAGTTCACATTGTCAGTGCGTTGTTATTAGACCGTCTGCATTACTGCATTACCCTCTAACAACAATGTAAGAACACTGTGATGGATTACAAAAGATAGAACAAGCTTCAAGAGTCTTGCTTTAATTAATTTAGACCTGAATGAACACCAACGAATGCAACGAAGAAACGTGTTCGTCCTTGACTGAATGACTCATTAGCATTTTCGGATCTGGTTCCCTGCTGCGAAAGTTTGACTTTTATTTAATCTGCAACCATAACCCTGAAGGTTTTTTTTTCAAGAATAAGAAGTTTAACTCACGGCTTTAAATAAATGTTAATGCATGATAGTGGATTATTTATTTGTATTTTCTTTGCAAGCAGGCTGGCTATCTGTTGCTCCCTTCAAGTTTTTATATTATTTCTTTTATACATTTGTTTTCCTGTGTCAATGATCTAAGGATGGAGATTGTTGCATACTGTAAATATTATTAAACCCCTTAAGGTCAAGTTTGTGATTTTTTTGCTTTGGGTATATGAAAAAAAGAACAAGACTTTAAGTTGACTAGACCTACAGTTCTTAAAAACTCTAGGGGCTTAAATGAGTTGCTTATAGAACAGAAACCCTAAAGAACATATTTGCACCATCAAATCCAGTCGACAACGAGTGACCTTTTGTTCAACAGTTGATACTAGAACAAAGAGTGTTCAGAAAAATGTGAATTGTGCAAAGTGTATACCCTATGACAGCTTCCTTTCTGGCTCTCCCTATGAGGTCAGCACTGTGAAGACAGTTTGCCGCAGTTGAACTGGATGTGGAAATGTGTGGGAATTCACTAAGACCTTAAACAAAGTGTGAAACAAGAGTTGAGAGGCTTGTACAAAAGAAGTAATGGATGGGCAATCAGGCAGCCACCCAGGTACAACATTACTCTCTGTTGGGTTGTATAATGTCTATGTTGTGAGTGGGACGGTCTCTTTAGATCTGTGAGTGTGTGTGTGAGCGTATAAGTGGGTGGATGTGTGCGTTGTTCATGTGTGTATATTTTGTATGCGTGTGTTTGTCTGGCCTGGCCGGGATTGCTGAGTCAAAGGAAAAGCAGATCAAGACAGAGCGGTGCAGCTGCAGCCCCCTTGGCTCCCAAAACAATGAATGTATCCAGCTTCTAACCTCTTAACAAACAGCCAACTGGCAAACACACACACTCCTAACACACACACACACACACTCACACCTCTGAGGAATGAGCATTGATTTCCCCCGCCTCACATCTCTGCTTTATAATACACTCATCTATCATAACCCCGCTAACAAAGATTGGGGAAAAACAGGATGGGAAGAGAAGGAGGAAGAGGGAAAGAAAAGACCTCATAAGCCAGCTGCTAAATTGCATGAAAACTATGTTGCACACGCTCTCACACACACACACACACTCACACACACACACAAATTCCGTCTCTCATCAGCGACGAGCAAACAGCATTTGTCGCTTTCTGCAGCTCCTGTCACTTCCTTTCCTCTTAAGTTAGACTCCACATCTGAAGTCTAAATTAAACTAAAAAACTTCATCGTCGTAAATCAAGCTCAGAAAAAATTAAGTTGAAGAATAAAAGCCATTAAGTTTTTGAGAAACATGTAATTTTATCTCCTAAAAACAAAATAAAGCTTTGAGTTTTAAAATGTAAACATCCTTCATTCACCATTATCTTATTTTGGAGCAAAACTCGACAAATTGATTCCACTATCTAGACCCCCAAACACTCCAAGTCGATGAGCGATATCTCGGCTCACAGCTTCCTCGGACACACATTAAAGGATTTAGATAAGAATGAAGACATCAAACTGCTTGGTTGTGATTTGTGTGGCTCCCAACTTGAAATCAGGGGAAGGTCACAAGTTCCATCTCTTCAAAAAACAACGTTTGTTTACGTTCTCACCAGAACTAACCTTCTTTGGTGTTTACTTATATTTAATGATCCTTCCCCTTACACAGCTAAAGAAGGAAAATCTACAACATTACAGACAGCTTCATGTATTTTTGGTGTGGCTGGCTTTTTATTGCCCATTTAGGAAGTGAAGGTCAAGAAATACTCCATCATCAAAGTCAGTGCTAATAACATTAACTAGTTAAGGTTAACTAATGTACCAGCATCACTGTTAGCTGTCACTTACTGTCAGTGTTCTGGAGCAGTACTGTTTAGTTAAAGGCAGTAATATCTTGTTCACACAATAAACAAACACAATATGTAATGACAGGATTAGGAGAAGTCTGTTCTTTTGTTCCCTCACATCAGAGTGTCTTTAGCATCAATCCACGATCTCCTCCTCTCTGGGTTTTCTGTCTAATGTGTGTTTTATGTAGAAGTACAATTACTGTCT